CTTTACCTGTTAGACTGCCACACCGGGCCCCCAAAAGAACCACCTTTTAAAACTGATGCAGTAAGTCATTACACAAAACTCGTTTCACTGATATTTATGTGTTTGTGTGAGTCTTTAAACCTATTCTTTCTTCTTTATTCAAATTCAGAATGAACTTTTTTATATTGCTTATTATTTTCATTGAGTTGAAGGGCAGAGAGAGACAGAAAGATATCTCCTGCTTGCTGATTAATTCCCCAGAGTGGGTGTAGCCAAAGCCAGGAACCTGGAAGTCCCTCTGAATTTCCCACAGGGGTTGCAGGTGTCCAAGCACCTGAACCATCATCCATTGCCTCCCAGGATGCCTTGGTAAGAAGCTGAATCAAAAGAGGAGTAGCGGGGACTCCAGTGGGACTCTCGAGATGGGATGCAGGCATCTCAATGGTGGCTTCACTTGCTGCACCAAAACAAACCTTTGCTTGATAGTGACTTAAGGGCAATATCCTAAAACATGGTATGATTTGCCAGTGTATATAAGAATTGCCATTTCAACTAACCTGTATTAGATTCTTTAAGATGTAAATCAATTCGACACAAAATGAAAACACATTTTTAATATTAAGTTGGTGTGAAAAGGAAAAAAAAAAACAGTAGACAAGTTGAATGAGGCAGTTTTTTTAAGAAGGAAGAAGCACCAGCTCTAAGACCTCAGCACACTCTTTGTGGAAAGCAAAGAGAAGGGAGGAACAAAAACAGCTTCACCTGCTTGTTACAAAGTTGCCTGTCTTCCTGGAAACTTTTAGCTGTCTGCCAGGAAGAGAATCTGGGCTGATGTCATTGGCTGAGGCTCACCTGCTTGTTACAAAGTTTCCCAGCACAGGAATATTGCAGTCCACTCTCCCCCAGGCCACATTCCCTTTGTCTAACAACAGGGATGAAGACCCTTTGTCTGATGATTCACTCCTCAAGCGACCATAACAGCCAGAGCTGAGCAGATCCTAAACCAGGAGCCAGGAACTCTTGCATGTCTCCTACGTGGGTGCAGGGTCCCAAGGACTTGGGCCATCCTCCACTGCCCTCTGCGGCCACAAGCTGGGAGCTGGATGTGAGGCAGGGCCGCTGGGATTAGAACCAGCAACCATATGGGATCTCGATACTTGCAGGATGAAGACTTTAATAACTATGCTATCACACTGGGCCCAAGAGAAATACATCTTTTTAAAAGCCGCTTTATTTTTATTTGAAAGAGTTTTCTAGAGGAGAGAGAGAAAAGTCCACTGGTGCACTCCCCAAATAGCAACGGCCTGAGCTGAGCCCATGTATTACTTCCCTATTTCAGTGTATTATGAGAGTTGATGGAATGGAAATTATTTGCATCTTTAAGTTGCTGCACGTGGATAATGTAGTGCAGTTCTCATGGTCATTTTCAACTCTCTGAAAAAGGATTCGAACCCAGAGGAGGATAACGCAGCCGTAGATCTGCATCACGGGCATTCTCCCATTTCTTTGCAAGAGCCCCTCCCCTGAATTCAGGAGCATTTCCCTCTTACAGAGCCTAGAATGCTGAGCTCTGGAAAGATCAAATTGTTTCATCATCTAATAGATGGCAGATAGAAGCATACAGATGTAAAGATCTTACACGCCATGCCATCTCTCACTTGCTCCCCAGTGAGTTCAATTCCAGTAGTTATGCATATGCAGGTCTTTTAAAAGTTTATTTTATTGGAAAATCAGATTTCTAGAGAGAAGAGACAAAGCTCCTCCATCCACTGCTTACTCCCCAAATGACTGCAATGGCTAGAACTGAGCCAATCTAGAGCCAGGAGCCTCCTGCAGGTCTCCCACATGGGTACAGGGGCCCCAGGCTATGGACCATGCTCTATTGCATTCCCAAGCCATTAGCCTGAAGCTAAATGGCAAGTGAATCAGCTGGAACATGAACAAGCACCCACTTGGATGCTACAGTTGGAGGTGAAGGATTAGCCAGTTGAGCCATTGTGCCAGAGCCACATCTGCAGATTTCCAGAAATGACTACTTCTGCAAAGGCTGAGTGAGACAGAGCTCAAAGCTGCTGTTTTGTGGCTTTACCAGGCAGAGTGACAGAAGGAGGGAGACACAGATTACCATCTGCTGCTTCCTTTCCCATCTGGCTGCAGCAGCTGTGCCAGGCAAGCCGGCTGAAGCCACGAGCTCTTCTGGGTCTTCCATGTAACTAGTTGTTTGTTATATAAAAGCCACATTAACTTGTGGAGATTGTGTTAGTTTTGTTTGCACCCACTGTATTAGATTTCCTTACTGTTTTGAGTCATTTCTCATTTGCTTTCCTATTTTCAGGTTAAAGATAAGTATAAATACTAGTAACCATAAATAATGATCAACAATGTATACCTAATCATGATTTTCTTTTTTTTTAAAATATTTATTTATTTATTGGAAAGTCAGATATACAAAGAGGAGGAGAGATAGAGGGGAAGATCTGCCATCCGATGATTCACTCCCCAAGTGAGCGCAACAGCCGATGCTATGCTGATCCGAAGCCAGGAGCCCGGAACTTCTTCCAGGTCTCCCACATGATGCAGGGTCCCAAAGCCTTGGGCTGTCCTCAACTGCTTTCCCAGGCCACAAGCAGGGAGCTGGATGGGAAGTGGAGCTGCCAGGGTTAGAACCAGTGCACATATGGGATCCTGGCGTGTTCAAGGTGAGGACTTTAGCAGCTAGGCCACGCCACCGTGCCCATAATCATGATTTTCATGCCTCTTAGTATGTTCTCTTTTTTATTTCACTGGCTGATACAAGTTAAAAAAAAAAAGTAGTGACTGAATAGCAGGATCCTCATTGCAGTCTTGGCTTTCATGGAATGCCAGCAGAGGCTCTTGCTTTCAGCTGGGATTCCAATGGCTTATGTTCAGAAATATTTAATCATCCTCATCAAAAAAAGGTAAATAAAATATAAGATTTTGGTGAGGGAGGGGGAGAAAACCACGGGTGGTAGACATCTAACTTGATTTCATTCTACTTAAATAGGCAGTTTTCTGAGCACCACTTATTGAACAGTCTGTTCTTATTTTTTAAAAGATCTATTTTTGAAGTCAAAGAGAGGAAGAGAAAAGAGAGGATTCCTTCATTCATTGGTTTGCCCCCTGGATGGCTGCAATGGCCAGCTCTGGGCCAACCCAGGGTCAACCCATAGCCAGGAGCTTCATCCAGGTCCCCCATCTACATGGCAGGGACCCAAACACTTGGGCCACCTTCCACCCCTTTTTCCAGGCCATTAGCAGAAAGCTGGATTGGAAATAGAGCAGCCAGGACACTAACCAGTGCCGACTTGAGATGCCAGTGTTATAGGTGGCAACTTTATCTGCTTTACCACACATTGTCCCATTGTCCTCATTTTTAAAAAAGATTTATTTGCACAGGCTGGCACTGTGTCTGCACAGGCTAATCCTCCACTTTGTGGTGGCAGCATCACATATGGGCCCCAGTTGATGTTCCGGCTGCTCCACTTCCAATCTGGCTCTCTGCTTGTGAGGGAAAAGCAGTGGAGGATGGCCCAAGTTTTTGGGACCCTGCACCTGCGAGAGAGACCAGAAGAAGCTACTGGTTCCTGGCTTCAGATCAGCTCAGCTCTGGTCTTTGCAGCCACGTGGGTAGTGAACCAGCAGATGGAAGACCTTCCTCTTGCCTCTTTTTCTCTATAAATCTGCCTTTTCAATGAAAATAAATAAATCTTAAGAAAGGAAGGGAGGAGTCATGGCATGCTGGCCTAGCATCTAAAGTCCTCGCCTTGAATGCATAAGGATCCCATATGGCACTGGTTCTAATCCTGGCAACCCTGCTTTCCATCCAGCTTAGTGCTTGTGGCCAGGGAAAGCAGGTAAAGACAACCCAAAGCCTTGGGATCCTGCACCCTCACGGGAGACCTGGAAGAAGCTCCTCACCCCTGCCTTCATTCCGGCATAGTTTCATGAATTGTGGCGACTTAGGGACTGAATCATGTAATGGAAGGTCTTCTTCTCTGCCTCTCCTCCTCTCTGTATCTCTTACCTTGCAATAAAAATAAATAAACCTTTCTAAAAGAATAGAAAGGAAGAAAAGACAAAAGGAAGACTCTAACATCCTTCTGTCTGGGCTCAGTACAAAGGGTTCCCCTTTCATGAAAGAGTTACACAGAGAGAGAGAAAATCCCCTTCTCATCACTGGTTCACTCACCATGTGGTCATCATGGCCAGAGCTGAGCTACTCTGAAGCTGGAGCCAGGAGCACCCTCCAGTTCTCTCATGTGGGTGCAGGGCCCTTGGGCCATCCTCACTGATTTCTCAGGCCATTAGCAGGAAGTTCAATGAGAAGTGGAGCATCTGGGGGCTCAGTGTGATGGCTCAACTGGCTAAATCCTCACCTTGCAAGTGCCAGGATCCTATATGGGTGTCAGTTCATGTGTTGGCTGCTGTGCCTCCTATAAGCAGAGAGCTGGATTGGAAGTGGAGCAAGCAGGACATGAACTGGTGCCTGTATGGGATGACAGTACTCTAGGTGGAGGCTTAGTCTACTACACAGTGGCACTGGCCCCATCCATTTTGTTTTAGGAAATGTTCTTATTTTTTTTAAGATTTGTTATTATTTTTCTTTATTGCAAAGGCAGATTTACAGAGAGAAGAAACAGAGACAGAGAGAAAAATCTTTCATCTACTGGTTTATTCAACAAGTGCTGCAATATCCAGAGCTGAGCCAATGCAAAGCCAGAAGGCAGGAGCTTCTTCCAGGTCTCCCACGTGGGTGCAGGGTCTCAAGGCTTTGGGCTGTCCTCTCCTGCCTTCCCAGGCCACAGGCAGAGAGGAATGGAGGAGCTGCCACTTATTCCTGGTTCCCAGGACTGGCCTGTGCTAGGGGATGCAGGCCCAGAGACTCTTTCTAAGGAAGCTGTGTTGGCATCAGCCTTCCTTTCACTTACAACTCACTGCTTCCAAGGGGGAGCAGGAGGGCTGTGTCTTTAATGAGAAACTGCAAAGGGAAGGAGGGAGGGACAGAGGCCTCGGCCAGAATCACTCAGCCAAGGGGCTCAGCCCAGAGCAACAGATGGCTCGTGCTCACTGGAGGCACTCAACTGTCTCTCTACTTTCTTCTGGTCCTTCATCTTGAGTCCAATGTCCACCCTTTTCTCAAAGAAGTTGACCAGCACAGACTCCGGCAGGATGGAGGCCAGGATCTGCTTGAAGGAGATGCACCAGTCTGCGTCCATGGTGTTCCCAATGCGGGCAGTGGCTGTGGGGTTCTCACACTGCAGGGAGCCCATGCTGACCACTGAGTAGGAGGACATGGATATGTTGTATTTGGTTTCATCATCAGACAGGAGCTGGGAGGGTGAGCCCTGCCCCTCTCCACTGCCCCCCTCTACCACCGTCTGTCTCTCCTGTGGCACTTTTCCAAGGTGGGTGTCTCCACCAGCTTTGGTCCAGGGGTCCCCCGTGGCTGTCAGCTGGCATTCCTGTACTGGGGCCTGATGGGATTCCCTTGCAGGTAACTGAGGGTCCCCCGTGGCTGGCACTCCTGTACTGGGTTCTGAGGGGTTCCCTTGCTGGTGACTGGGGATGCCCCATGGCTGGCGGCTAGAGTTCCTGTACTGGGCCCTGAGGGGGTTCCCTTGCTGGCAGTGGGGACTCATCCTCAGTGGAACTGCCCTGGTCCTTGCTGAGAGTGCCACCCGTGGGCTTCTTGACACTGGGACTGAAGAACTTCCCCACCTCACTGATGCGGAGGAGGCTGGCCACTGTGGCAATGGCGTGGTACAAGTCCTGCTCCAGGGGGTCCTCACTGAACATGTTGTATAGCGTCTTGCACAGCTCAATGAATTGCTCCTATCAAGGGGGAAGGCAGAACAAGGAGATGGTAAGATGGCCCTGGTGTTCATTCCACGCATGCTGCTGGCCACTGGAACTGGTGCCAGGATGTGGTCCTGTTTATCGGCACCAGACCAGTGCTCTAGTCTTACTTCACACACGGGAATGTGGAGGCTCAGTGTCGGGAGGGATCCAAGCAGTCACTCTGCCATCCTGGGCTCTCCCCCTGCAGCAGACAGCAGCTCTGAGCTGGGCTCTCTGCTCCGACATGTGGTTCTGCTGTTGGAGATGCATGGCTGTGTGAACCCGGCCTCGACCATGGCTTCCTCCCTGGGGTCTGGCCTCACCCTTGGCCTTCTAGCTCCTGGGTGAAAGCGACTTCAACTCTGACCTTCAGGGAAGCTCCCAGAGGGTGCTGCTGAGGGGGTGAGGGTGGTCTTGGGTCTCTAAACCACATCCTGGCCTGAGAGAGGGGTGAGACCACCCATTCCTCAGGCTGGAGAAGGCTTAGGCTCACAGGGCCCCTCTGGGCATAGCCAGGGCCAGCCCAGCCCAAGCACTAAGGGCAGGCTGTAGTTCAGGGACTGCCTCTGGCTACTTTCTGCAGCTGAACCCAGGGGTTGCCCCTTCCTGCCTGGGAGACCCTTGGGAAGACAAAGAAGCTCCTGTCCCCAGAGAGCAGGAAGTGGAGAGCAGACAAGCCTGTGTGCACAGGGTGCCTGGGCAGGGAGTGTGAGGAAGCAGCTGTGGGGTAACCTTCCCCAGGGCTGCTCAGACCTACCACTGTCCCTTCACCTGAACAAGTGGTCCCTGTGCAAATGGCCCCTGAGCAACAAGCTCCTGACTTTCCAGAATCCTCACTGGGACTCCTGGGCGCTCAAGTGAGCTAGTGAGTAATGAGTGCCACCCTGTGTGGACCCTGGGGCGTGGTGCTGACATGGCATGCTGGGCCCCGGTGTCCCTCAGGGTTCTGTAGAGGTGTCTGCTGCAGCCTCCTGCCTGGCCTACCTGGTTCATTTTGGGCAGATCCTGGATGGTCTCCTTCTGAGCCTCTCCCTCCTTGGCCCACATGCGAAGGTAGAGTCGGTAGTCTGGGGGGCTGGTCCCCTTCTCCTCTGTGAGTCAGGAGGAAAAGACATTAATCTCGGCCTGTCATGACAGAAAGAGGGCTTGAGCTTGGGGTCAGGGGGTGGGATGGGCCCTGTTACAAAGCACCTGCATCTGGGGAGGTGCTGATGGGGAGAATGCCCTGAAGAAGGGATGGCTCAATGGGATGAGGATGGTCCTGAGGCTGTGTTCTAGGCTGTGAGAGGTTGGCCTGAGGAGGTGAGAACTTCACAGGGGACACCAGGCATCACAGGGGACAGCAGGGCCTCCAGCCAAGGTCACTGACCTTCAGGGCATGCCTGTCAACTGGGTGCCAGGCAGTGGGGGAGCTTTGCAGAAGTGACTGGGGATGGACACAGCCCACATGAAACCCCAGACCTCAGCCCTGAGACCCTGACTGGCCGTCAGGGCAGAATGGCCTGTACCTGCTCGCTTTTCTTGGGTATCCTCGCTTCTGCTTCCTTCCCGATCTTCCTGTGGTAGTGCCTCTGCCAACCAGGAAATAACAACATGGAGCACATTCTTCTCCAGCTGGGACTGCAGCCCACCTCTGCCGAGGTCCAGCCTGTGCTTGTGCGGGAGCAGCCCCGGGTTCTGGTTCCCTGCACGGAGCCTCCTGCTTTGGCCTGACCCTGGGCTCTGCCCTCCGGCACCACCGTCAAGGAGGGCCTGGGCATTTCCCCACTTGATCACTGAAAGCAGCAGCAGCTGTATCCCACTCCGTTTTTTTTTTCTTTTTCCAGAGGACTACAAGTCTCCCCTATATGCAAACAGCAATGCGGTGTGATGGACAAGCCTGAGAACTGATGAATCCTGTGGTTTTGTTAGGAAAAGGTCACGTGTGTGGGATCACACCTATGACAGTTACACCGGGAGGGAAGAAACTTGACAGACATGAACCCTGTGCTCAGCACATCCGCTGGAGGAGGACCACACTGTGCGGTTCACGTGTGAACATGAACCTGGGGAGGAACAAGCTGCCCTGGTCTCCCAGGCCTGCTGCCAGAAGACAGGCGAGGACAGAAGTAGCCCAGCCCTCAACTGCCTCAGTGAGCGTGGGTGACAGTGCAGGGCCTGGGGTGCTGTGGGGTCTGAGGTCAGGGTTCTGCACCCAGAAGCACACAGCACAAGCTTAAAGCTTCCCAGGTTGCCCAGGGTCCGTGTGTAACAGGAAGCACACCTGCTGCTTTGGCCTGTTATTGGAAGCCAAGGCCCTCCGGGTCTGTGAGCTAAGCCTTCACGGTCAGCAGGACCTGTGGGTCCTTCGACACACACACACTATTTGTTTCCCCTTTGGGCCTGCCACATGACGTCACAGCACAGCATGGTCGCCAGCCGTGTCATCAAGTCCTGGGGTCCAGGAGGCACTTGGCAGCCTGTGCTTTATACTTTAAATGCAGTGTGAGGATAAGGATGGGTTCTAATGGCTCAACATCCGTATTTCTTCTCCACAAAGCAGTGTTTTGTGCTTTCTGAGGAGAGCATCTGCCCCACCCTGCCCGGCTTCCCCTGGTCCCTGTGGTCTGTTTCCCGCGGTTGCAGTGACCACCCCTGCTTTTCCTTCCTCTGCCTATGCTGACCCATGGCCCTGTGCATGTCCTCACCTGCTAACCACCCCACAGCAGGACACACGTGCCAGTGGTAGAGTCTGCCAGGCCTGGGAGCCTTGGGGCAGGAGTGGGGATGGGGGTGTGAGGGGATGCTGCCACCCATAGCCAAGGGAGCCTTCCTGTGCTCCGGGCACTGACCTTGAGCCTCCCAGGGCAGGAAAAGATCCAGATCAGAGGCCAGAGGAGATGCTGGGAGGACAGCATAGGAGCAGGAGGGCAGAGGGAGGAGGAGCCGAGATCCAAGAAGACAGACACAAGAGAAACAGGAGTGAGATCACTGCCTGCCCACAGGGACACCTGGCTGCAGGAAGCCAGGGTGGACCCCAGCTTGAGACCCCTCTCAGGACACCCCAATGCCCCCAGCCCCCCAGCTGGAAGCCTCAGGGAGCCACTCACTTCTGAGGAGCTGTCTTCCGTGAAATAGTGGGTGGCCTCCAGGGCTGACTCGGCTTCCTCAGAGTTTAGGGCTGCACTCCGAGATGGGTAGAGTGAGAGTCTCACCTAGAGCAAGCATCCCAGCTCCTGGGCAGACCGCACCTGCCCTTTCCCGCTGGACCGGCCTGACCATTCCTGGACACCCTCCCCCTGCCACCATGACCCGTGTGGCAGTTTTAAGGCTGACTGGCTTGGATTATTTGCTACTTTCTGATTCTTAGGTGAGTTTGTAAACACCCAGTGTCTTTCAGGTTAAAGTGCAATCAGTGCCTCATACAATCCAGGGGTGTGGGGGCACGTGCTCACCTGGGGGAAGGTGCAGCTTGTAGAGCACCTTGAGCTTTTCAGTCATGTCCCCGTGGTACATCCCGCCTGTGGGAGAAGGCAGGAGGAGGGCATGATGAGAGGGGCTCCCCAGGACGGTGCAGGCTCCAGGGGGCTGGGACAGGACCTCCTCACAGCTGCAGAGGGCCCGGGAGCCAGTCTCAGGCTTCCTCAGAGTTATCGCCAGGCCAGCTCAGCCTTCCCTGCGGCCAGCTGCCCCAGCCCCACAAGGGAGGGAAGGACAGACTGGCCAGGGATGCCATGGGAAAAGGCCAAGGCAGGGTCAGGCCCCTGGAGGCACTCACTTTTGTTTTGGAGCATAGTTTTAAGATGTGTATATCTTTAAAATAGAAAGGCAGATTTACCAGAGAGAAGGAACAGAGAGAAGAAGATCTTCCATCCATTGGTTCCCTGGCTGGAGCTAAGCTGATCTGAAGGCAGGAGCCAGGAGCTTGTTCCATGTCTCCCATGTGGCTGCAGGGTCCCAAGGCCTTGGGCCATCCTTGACTGCTTTTCCCAAGCCAGAAGCAGGGAGCTGGAAGGGAAGTGGAACAGTCAGGATATAAACCAGCACCCACATAGGATCCCAGTGCATACAATGTGAGGACTTTAGCCACTGGACTATAAATCTTAATTTTTTTTTCCTTTTTGCCTAACAGTCAACGCCAACCTAACTTGAATCCAGTGCCTAACTTGAGTCAGTCTGATCATTTGGAAGAAAGGTTCCCTTGTCCTGGGGCTACTGAGGGGACAGCGTGTCCCTGGAGATGCAGACAGCCATGGACTCTGCAGGAAGCGCAGTTCAGAGAACATCAGAGGGTGAGAGAGTGTACAACACTGCATCTGAGTCCCTGGATCCAGCCAGGCCTGACACTGTCTCCCTCAACTCTGCAGTTCCTTGAGCCCATGAACTTCTGCTGTAAGCTGCCTTGTGCTTTCTAAGGGAGTGTTCTGCCTAAACTCCAACAAGGCTTAACTTCTACCACTGCGACTTCACAGCAAGTGCATGCACGGATGCTTCCAAACCCCTTCTCTTCCGGCAGGAACCTCTGTGCTGAGGATGCTCTAGGAAGACAAGGTCACAGTTACAGGTCCTGTCCTTGTTCTCGGCTCTTACCTTAAACACCATGTAAAGGTCTTCCAGCTCTTCAGTGGAGAAGCCAGTGTCCCCAGGTATGGCTCGGACCTAGAAGAAAGAGACAGGCTGGGCTGAGGGACTCTCAAGTGCCTGTTGCAGCAGGAGACAGATTGTCACAGGGACCAGGGCAAAGGCACGAGCTGCCCCTCAGTGTGGCAAGTCGGCCATCCCACTGAGGGCAGGGCCTTGCCCTGCTGGCCTCTCACCACCCAGCCTGCCACTCAGTGCAAGCTCCCTGAGGTCTGTGCCCTAGTGGGCTGAGAGTGGGGGACATGGGACATTGTTTAGTTCCTCCTGTCTGGACCTCTGCTGTGACCCAGGTGCCAGCTCTTGGGAAGGGGTCCTGAAACCACCAGCCAGCTGCTCTCAGTCAGCTGGAGCCATCCGTTTCTGTCACTTGTGACCTCAGAGTGTCTGAAAGGTTTGTGGGGGGCACTGGGGAAGTGGGAACGAGGTTGGCAGTCAAGAGACCATGAGTAGATCCTGTGGCAGGGGCACCTGCACCCATCCAGGGATGCGGAGGATGAAGGCTGGAGGCAGAGGCACGGCACGCAGGTGCTCAGAGGGCAGCTGTGGGATGCTCGGGGCGAGGGGAGGGGACATGTGGGAGACAGAGGGTGCTATGCTTTGGGGGAACGGGGCTTCAGACAGGCTTCCCACTGGCCCATCTGGGAGCAGAATAAAACGACCATGTCCTCTCCCCGCCATGCCCCTGCCTGGTCCCACACATCCTAATGCTGACACTGGTGGTGAGGCAGCAGGGGAGTGTGCGTCCTGCCCCACAGACAGGCCTGAGTGGGAGCCCCCCACGCCCACATACCACGCTCCTCTTGGCTGTGTCCTCCAAGCACTGGATCACTTTCAGCCTGTTTAAACCGCATCTGTTCAGTGTCGCTGGCCCGCAGGATGCTGAATTTCTGCAGGCAGGTGGGGATGATTAGGTGAGACAATGCACAGCCACGGGGTGCAGGGCTGTCACCCCCCGCACCTCCCCACTGAGTGCTGACCTCATAGGAGGCTTTGAGGAGGTCAAAGATGTCTGTCTGTGTGGGAGGCTCGTCTCCACTGGTCAGCAAGGCATGGAGGTGTGGCACTGGTGGGGAAGTACTCTGCTCATTGACCACATTGTCCAGACATCTGTGTGGGCAAGGGGTCAGACATCGAGACCACTCATAGTTATGGCAGACCCTCCAGGAGGATAGAGTGTGCCCCAGCAGACATCCTGGAAAATCAGGGAGCTCCCCTCAGGCCTCAGCCCCTCCTCGCATTAGGCTCTGCACATGGAAGGTGCCGGGCTATGTTTTAGGGCTCCATGGGCAGGGAGCCCCTTTATGTATCCAATTGGAGGGATGGTGTGCTTGTCCTGGCCACGAAGAATGAGACCAAAGGATGGAGTCTCAGGAGAGCCAGGAGGCTTCTGCTGTGGCCGTGTGTGCAGCGGCCCAGGTAACCTGGCTTGTTTAAGGCCACACGTTGGGACCTAGCCTGGCCAGGACGCCCTGACCCCTGCTGTGGGTAGGAAATGCATGGCAAGCAAGCTGTCTGGACCTCAGGGTGGACACGCAGCTACCCAGCCCAGCTCTCTGGAGGCACCATGGCTGTCCCTGCTGTGTGGGAGCATCCCAGGACAGGGACATGGATGTGGGGAGGCTGTCAGGACTGGGCAGAACTCAGGGCAGGTCAGAAAGAGCCAGAAGGGGGCTGAGCATGGCTGACAGGCTTGACAGCCAGGTAGGCAGATGTCCACTGCTCCTCTGAATGAAAGATAAACAATTGGCATGGATGCACAAGCTCAGCCCTGGTCAGTGTCCTGCAGGATGTTGCAAGGAGACAGGAACAGAAGAATCCATGACAAGGCAGACACAGGTACATAGTAGGCGCATGTTAACCTGTGCATCCCAGAAGGAAATCTACAGGTACTTGCACAGAGGAGGAAGCATCCAGGCTGGCTCGGGGCCTCAGGTGTGACAGGCCAGGCATCAGACTCCCAGAGCAGGTCTGGTTGGGGAATGGATAGCAGTGAGCCGCGGAGGTGTAACAAGACTGCTTGGAGGACAGAGTTGCCGTTGTTACTGCATGGTTTTGGTGTGGTGTACCCTCAGAATCTTTCCCTGAACGCGTCTGAGCAGTAGCTCTCTAGTCAGACCACCCACTGTGCTACTTCCTCCCAGCATTTGGCCTGTGAAGACACAGGTCAAACAGATCCATGTCTCACATCACAGTGTTACAGTGTTAGGCTTGGCACCTGGCTCCAGCTGCATATTCTTGCTTCCTGCTAATGTGATTATTGGGATACAATGGTGATGGCACAAGCAGCTGTTTTTCTGCAACCCGGATGGGAGATCTAGGTTGAGTTACTGCTTCCTGGCTTTACCTGGTCTGGTCTCAGTCACTCAGAACACTGGGAAATGAACCAAGATACAGGAGATCTGTCTACCCCTGGAATTAATGTAACAGTAAACAGGAAGGAAGCTCTTCTTTGCCCCTGCATATCCCTGGGCCCAGCCATAACTGGGAACTTGTTAGGTATGGTCACTTGATGTTAACTGAGTAAGAACCAGGACTGGCACAGAGCAGGGTAGAGAAGCTGAGCACGTTCACCTGCCCAAGATGGTCATGGCCTCGCCCTCGTCATTGCAGCCGAGCAGCTGCTCCATGTTGGCATCCAGGATGGCCAGGGCCACCTGCAGGACCACCTTGATGCCCTCGTAGAAGAAGCAGTCAACAATGACCACGGCGCTCTCGAACGGCATGACGCTGAGGAAGAGGGTCAGGAACCATGAGAGCGAGATGCTGGAGATCACGCCCAGCTCCTGCATCTTCTCTGACAGCTGGGGCAGGAAGTCTCTTGTGAGTTCTTCAAAAATGCCTTGGTCAATCAGGGCTCCTGTGGGGAGTGGGTACGAGCTGAACGGTGAGTCAGTCCCATGGCTTCTGGTGGGCCCTCATGGGGAATGAATGCTGGGGTCTGAGGCCCCATTCATCACCACCCACCAGTCCCACTATGGTGAGGGCTGTCAGGTCAATGGAGAAAACAAGAAGCAATAGGTCTTTATTTTTCCTACAGTTTCAGTGCATTCCTCTCTCTGTACGTCCCCTTGGGGAGGGCACTGATTTCTCCATGAAAGCATCAGAATCAGACTGCCTGTGAATAGCCCAGTCCCAGAGGACTCAGAGTGGCAACTCCAGAATGCTTGCGGCAGTGGAAGGGCAGTGGAGGCAGCTGAGCATGGCACACAGTTACATGCACTTCAAAGGCTGGGTTTGCACAGTTCAGAGACATGCTGGATGTGTGTTTGTAGTAGCTGCAACTGAGTGACAAATGTGTGGGGGTGCGCCACACTCTCTGGTTTTCATGTTTGGAATCTCTCATAATAGAGAGGTTTACATGAAGTTCGATGGATGGGCATTCAGACTTGCGGTGGACTTTCACCAGTTCCTGAGGGTGGCACAGCTGCACAGCTTCTGGCTGGCAGTGATGTGGGAAGCCATACATGGGCTGGCAAGAGTGTGGACCCTGCAGGCAGAGGTCTGGGTGCTCTCTCCCTTCCTAGTGGTGCTTGCTAGCTCATTTGCAGCACAGGCTGGACAGACTACAGGAGGCTTGGGAGGCTCCCAGCCTGGGGCAAGGCTGTCCCCTTCAGTAAGGGAGCCCCTTGAACCACTCACCCACCACCCTGGTGTTGTAGTAGTCGGGCAGCATGCGCTTGCACAGGGCCACCAGGAGCCAGAAGGCCTCCTCCTCGCTGCCGTAGAGCAGGAGCACTGAGGTCACGATGTTCATCGCCTGCTGGGCACAGGGATGGTGAGTAGGCCAACAGGCACGATGTCCTCTCCCTGACAACAGGCCAGCCCCTCGAGGAGAAACCATCCTCGCCCCAATCTGGGAAACTGGCCAGAAGGCAATTTTCAGGAAATGAACTTGACAGAGCTTCAGCTTGGCCTTGGATGTCAGCACAGAACACTTCTGGGCAGGAGTGGCTGCAGGGCCCAGCTGGGGTGGAAGCAGCTGCATGGCTGGGGGGTGGCCATTTGCTGCAGCAGGCACTCACACAGCACAGCAGCAGCTGCTAACAGACTTACGAAGAAGCAACAAAGTAGGCAAACTGGCATTTTTTGGTCTGCTTTTTTTTTTTTTAATTTGAAAGGCAGAGAGAAAGATGAAAAGAGAGAGAGAGAGGAATCTTTCCTCTACTAAATCATTTATTCAATGGTGGAGGCTGAGCCATGCCAAAGTCAGGGACTAAAAGCCTGGCCACATGGGCCGTCTTCCACATGGGGTGTGTGTGTGTGTGTGTGTGTGTGTGTGTGTGTGTGTGTGTGTGTGTGTGTGTGTGTGTGTGTGTGTCTGGCCACATGGGCCGTCTTCCACATGGGGTATGTGCATGTTTGTGTGTGTCTGTCTGCCTGGCCACACGGGCCGTCCTCCACGTAGGTTTGCGTGCGTGTGTGTGTGTGTGTGTGTCTGCCTGGCCACATGGGCCGTCTTCCACATAGGGGTGTGTGTGTGTGTGTGTGTGTGTGTGTGTGTGTGTGTGTGAGGGAGCAGTGTCCAGGCCATCTTCTGGGCCTTCCCCAGTGCAGCAGGTGAGACTCAAATCCACATTTTGCTGCAGGGCTGGCTCTCAAAGATCACCTCTCTGCAGTGGTCTCTAGTTGGTGATGTGGCACACAGAACAGGAGCTGTGGGGAGTGGGCTTCCCTGAAATCCCAGGGCAATTTTAGGCAAATAGAAATCATATGACCTGCTCAGGAAAATGTCCATTAGATTTCAAAACAAAGTTCTCAGAAATGCTAGTCAAAAATCTCAAATGATACCCACTACAACAACCAACCAGACAGAAGCCTTGGCAGGGAGCTGGAGAGGCCAGAGCCCTGGTGAATGACTGCTGGGAGGGTAGATGGCACAGCTGCTGTGAGCAGTGGAGGCTTCCACCATGGGCAGGACCATCATGTGACCGAGCAGTCCCACCTCTGGGGACACCAGCTGCTGTCAAGGCAGCAGGCAGAGCAACCCCAGTGTCCACCAGAGGACACAGGGATGAGGGAAACATGGAGCTTACATCAGAATATGACCCAGCCTTGAAAAGGAAATAGACTGGAGCTGGCATTAAAGTGAAGTGGATAAACCACCATGCCACCTGGGACACCAGTATCCCATGAGGGCACCAGTTCATGACCCAGCTGCTCTAATTCTGATCCAGCACCTTGCTAATGGCCTGGGAAAGCAGCAGCAGATTGACCAAGTACTTGGGCCCTTGTTATCCACATGGGAAACGCCGAAGCAGCTTCAAGCTCCTGGCTTCAGCCTGGCTCCACCCTGGCTGTTGTGGCCATTTGAGTAGTGAACCGGCAGATGGAAGGTCTCTTCCTCTTTCTCTTGTCTATTATTCCCTCTCTTTCTGTAACTTTGCATTTCAAATAAACAAACCTTAATAAAGAAAGAGAGAAAGAGGAAGGAAGGAAGGAGAGAGAGAAAGACAGACAGACACTGATTGGGACATGTGTAGTAGCACAGTGAGCTAAGCTGCTACCTGCCATGACGACATCCTATGTGTTCACCAGTTTAGGTCCTGGTTGCTCTACTGCTGATCCAGTTCCTTGATAATGTGCTGGCCAAGCAACAGAAAATGGCCCCTGCCACCCATGCAGGAGACTGGTGGAGTTCCTGGCTCTTTTCTTCACCCTGAACACCCAGGAGTCATTTAAGGAATAAATCAGCAGATGGAAGTACTCTCTTTCTCTCTGTAACTGCCTTTCAAACAAATAAATACGTTGTAAAATAAGATAAAAAAAAAAGATTCTGACATGTGGGACAGCATATAAGAAACCTGAGGGCACTGGCTCAGTGAGATAAGTCACTTACAAAAGGACAAACTACATGAGGTTGGAGGTCCCCAGGACAGTGAAACAGAGACAGAACAAAGGCAGCAGCAGCCAAGGGCTGTAAAGGCTGTGAGGGCTGGGGATGGAGTTACTGGTCAGTGGGTACGAGCTCCAATCTGACAGGGTGGGGAGTCCTGTGGATGGATGGGACAATGGCTGCACAGAGTGTGAATGTACTTAACATCAGCAAACCAAATGCTTAAACATGGTGCAAACGGGCCCTATGTTGAGGTACAGAGGGTCATCCCAAACTAGAATGCTGGTTCCAGTCCTGGTTGTTCTGCTTCTGATCCAGCTTCCTGCTAAGGCATCTGGGAAGGCAGCAGAGTATGGTCCAAGTACCTGGGCCCCTGCCACCCATGTGAGAGACTCAAATGGAGTTCCTGGCTCCTGGCTTTGGCTTGGCTTCAGCTCTGGCTGCTGTGGCAAGTGAGCCAGAGGATAAAAGATCTCTGCCTCTCTGTCCTTCTCTTTGTCTTTGAAGTAAAAGAATCTTTTAAAAAATGGCTAAAATGGTAAATTGTATGTATACACACACACACAATCAATCAAATGCAGGACGAAGGAACAGAAGCACATTGGAAGACAACACCTGACATGAGGATGAGATGAGTAATTGCAGCTGTTTGTAAATTACATCTGTTCTGCGACTCCTTTCTGGGGTACAGGGCACAGTCACAGGTTTGTAAGGCCCCCACACAGGTCCCACAAGCCTCTGGAGGGGGTGCAAGTGAGATGCTTTCTCTGGACTCCTCTTTACCTGGCAGTAACCAATAGTGGGGTTTCGGAAAGCGTAGGCAGTCAGAACCCGCCGGAGCGCAGCGATCCCAAGTTCGTTCTGGAAGGCGGGGTGCTCAGGCATGGAACGGTGGAGGTCTCGCTCAATCTCCTCCGTGGCCAGGCTGTACTTGCCCATGGACTTCTCCACCAGCTCAGCGTAGTAGCCAGGGTGAGTCACCATCTCATTCCAGGCCCCTGGGGAGACACAGGTGGCAGCTGTCTCTCCTACCCCTATTGGCGCTCTGGCAGCAGTAACAGGGAAACTGGAGGCAACAATGCCCTACAGAGGACAGGCAGGATTTGAGGTGGGAAGCGACCATTGCAGGGTTCAGGCAGTCGTCATGGTAGAGACTGTCTCGAGCTCCCCCCTGTGAGGAACAAGGCATCAGAGGCCTGACATGGAGCCATGACCCTGGGGTTTGCTGCCCACGATGCTTCGTGTGCCTCAGGTCCCCTTACAGAGCCAAGGCTCCGAGTGCCTGTGATGTGACGGGATGGCAGTTCCCGTTTCACTTCAGAAAGGACAGCCCTGGGCCAGAGAAGCTCAGGTAAGGAGAGCCCTGAGCCAGGGCAGTGGGCAGCAGGGCCAGGCTCACCTGAGAAGAGAAGCCACAGCTCCCCGCGCAGGCTCTCAGGGATGCCCTTCAGGACCAGCTCCCGGGTCTTGGCTGTGCGGTACATGCACATGCCACGCCCATACTCGAAGAAGTGGATGTCCCATGACTCCTCTTTCATCTTCTCTTTGGCCTGAGGGAAAAGTGAACCAGCGCATTGAGGACCCTAAGTGGGTCTCAGAGTGCTGAGACCTGGGTGACCCACCCTCCACCTCTGCTCCTGAGGCCCGTGGAAGCCTGCTATGTTCTCCACATAGCAATGGTTAGCCAGCAGGCTGCAGACTCTCCAGGGACTCCAGGTAAAGCATGGGTGGAGCTGGGCTATCACACCTCCTGTGAACGGCACCCATACACCCCCAGAGGGCAGCCTCAGCTTGTCAGCCCTAAGGGCCTGAGCCAGCCAGGAAGGCACCAAGCCAGCGGCAGACCCCTGCTTTCTCTTGAAAGGCTTGGCTGTGGACCAGGGCTGAAGGCCAGTGCCTGCAGCTCACCTCCTTGACTCCTAGGTCCTCTGTGGGCAAGTTTCTTCGGAAGAGCTTGAGCAGGCCCTGGGAGGCGGTGGGCACGTTCTGTGCACTGAAGCCCTGGTGGCCACTGAGCGGAGACGACGGGCTGGTGGGCTGTTGGTGTGTCTCCTGAGGAGCTGGGAGAAACTAGGGAATAAAAGCAGGGAAGGGAGAGCACCTAGCACCCGAGTTGCTCAAGGGGCTGCGACTTTACCTTGACCCAGAACTGGAACAGAGCGGCTGTGGGGCCCAGGGCCATACTGGAGCAGTGGGAAGCTGTGGCTACCTCCTTCACTCTCCCTTTGGCCAGCTGTCCCTGATGTAGGAAGGACACCCATTGGGGCCAGCATGATGGCTCAACAGGCTAATCCTCTGTGGTGCGAATGTCCTGTATAGGTGCCGGTTCATGTCCTGGCTGCTCCGTTTCCTATCCAGCTTTCTGCTTGTGGCCTGGGAGAGCAGTGGAGGATGGCTCAAGAGTTTGAGCCCCTGTACCCATATGAGAGACTTGAAAGAAGTTCCTGGCTTCTGCCTTCAGACCAGACTAGATCTGGCCATTGTAGCAATTTAGGGAGTAAGCCAGAGGATGGAAGAGCTCTTTGTCTCTCTTCTCTGTGATTCTACGTTTCAAATTAAGGAGAGAGAAAGAGGAGAGAGAGACAGGGAGAGAGAGACAGAGAAGAAAGAGACCCACTATGATAAGGTGGTCCCTTGTGGAGGAAATGAGTTCTGGGGATCCTGCTGAGGGGAGTCCTTCCCAGCAAAATGCAGACATGGGATAGGACATCACCAGTGGGCGGCTCCAAGGTCCCTGGGCTGTTGCTACACAAATGAAACAAAACCTGACTTGGATAGTGCATAATAATCAGGTAGGTTTCAGCCAGCCACAGGCAGCTGACTGATCAGGCCACACCCACACAAGACAGATGACTACTCTACCTTGCTTGCCCATTTCCTCTGCCAGTTCTGCATGCTGCCCTAGTCATGACCTGTTCTTTGCCCAGGTGAATTCTTCTGAATTCAGTCTGCCTGTAGCTTTTCAACACTCCCTTCTAGGGCATGACTGTCAGGCCAGGCAGCTGGGATTCCTTGTGCTGTGTTGTGTTCACTTTCCCTGCCCTGGCCTCTACGACGCACAAACCCTGCTTAGCTCCAACAGGGGACAGCTGCTGTTGGTATCTGCCCTGAGCCTCAGCCATCCTTGGACTCCCTGCTGGAACAGTGTGGACCTAGGTGGCACAAGGAGTGGCTGACAGTCAGCCTTGCCTCATCTGGTATCTGATCCCTTGGCCACAGTGAAGGCTATGTCGTGGGGACTGAGCCATGGCTGCTGGTAGTGTCTGGACAAATGCTACAAGCAGGTGGTGGCACCAGTGTCGCCACAGAGCCAAGAAATGGAGGCAGCAGGGGATGGCAGGGCAGAGGCCGGGGGATGCTGAGTCCTGAGCCAGACTGCACCTGTCAAGGTCTGCCTGTCCATCAAGTGAGGAAAGGAGTCCTCTCCTGGCCCCTATGCCCCACGATCAATCCTGTGCTCATAATGGCTCCAGATGAAGAGGCTCCCATACTGCCCTAGGCTGACTGTTGTCTGTGAAGATATCCTGAGGTTTCCATCTTCCCCTCACGGCCCCTGGGCCTGTGACCCTGGTGTGGCCTATGGTAGGCACAGCACATTCCACACTAGGTATTTTTTTTTTAAGATTTATTTTTCTTTTTATTGGAAAGGTTGATATACAGAGAGGAGAGATACAGAGGAAGATCTTCTGCCTGATGATTCACTCCCCAAGTGTCCACAACGGCTGGAACTTAGCCAATCCGAAGCCAGGAGCCTCTTCAGGTCTCCCATGCTGGCGCAGAGTCCCAAAGCTTTGGGCCGTCCTTGACTGCCTTCCCAGGCCACAGGCAGGGAGCTGGATGGGAAGCAGGGCCGCCGGGATTAGAAGCAGCGCCCATATGGGATCCCAGCACGTGCAAGGTGAGGACCTTAACCACTACACCATTGCGCAGGGCCCCCATACTAGGTATTTGCACCAACATAAGCCTAGGTCCACCTCACTGTGTGCTGTGTGCACTGCTTAATAAGGATAAAGACACAGACCTAGCACCGGCTGGGTGGGAATACGCTTGATACTCCCTGGGTCTAACCATCAACAGAGATCTGCATCATCCTATCGGGCTGCGGGCTGCTTCCCAGTACTGGAACCTACGGATACCTGCATCACCCTGTCGGGCTGCGGGCTACTTCCAGTACTGGAGCTTGGAAATTTGCCTTCCTATTGCATGCAGAGGGTGAGGGATCCTAGGGTAGTTCTAGGAAGGCACTAGGTGGACATGAGGAAGTGGGTGGAAGTCTTCCTGCATGTCTTTACAATGTCACTCTGTTTCTATAAAATGCTACTGTCAAAAAGCCTGATGACTCTCTGATTTTCCTGTCCTCATATGTGACTTGGTCTTTTTTTTTTTTTTTGACTAGCTGTACAAAGTAATTCTTAAAAAATATTTAAGGTTTGGGGCTGGTGCCATGACATAGCAGGCAAGGCCTCTGCCTATGCTGCCAGCATCTCATATGGGCACCAGTTCATGTCCTGGTTACTCCACTTCCAATCCAGTTCTGTTGGTGTGTCTGTGAAAGCAGAGGAGGATGGCTCAAGTCTCTGAGAGGCCAGGAAGAAGCTCCTGGACCAGGGCTCTGAGGAGCTGAGTATGAGCTTCAGCATTCAGATTCCACATTGCCTAGGGTCAAGGGCACTGTGGTGCCAGAGCTACCGATTTTTGTGGAGAAGCAAGACCCAGTACTGGATTTGCACGTGGACTTTGCTAATTATAAAGTGTTTCTGTAAATTCAGGTTAAGCAACAACAACAGCAATGCACTTATCTTGGTACTTGGAAGCAAGGATGCCAACGAAGATGAACAGGGTTCTGTCTATTGGACAAGGAGTCAACCTGAATCAGGCCCCTCTGATGTCAGACTAAGTTGCTAATCCATGGCATATGTGCATGGTTCATTAGGATATTAATAAGTAAGTGCTGGGACCCACATTGTACAGGCTAAGCTGCTGCCTATACTGGCATTTATATCGGAGAACTGGTTTGAGTTCTGGTTACTCTGCTTTGATCTGGGTCCCTGCTAACGTGCCCGGGAAAGCAGCAGAGGATGGCCCAAAGACTTGGGTCCCTGCCATTTATGTGGGAGACCAGGATAAAGTTCCTAGCTTCTGGCTTTGGCCTGGTCCAGCCCCAGCTATTGCAAGCATTTAAGAGAACAGTTTTCTCTCTTTTGTGCCATCTCTCTGACACTCCATCTTTCAAATAACAAGTAAAGCAATAAATAACAATTTTAAAGTAAATAAACTAGTTGGCTACACCTGGAGGAGACAATAAAACCAACGCTTTCATCATGTTGGCAACTAGTGAATAAAAGGCAATAGTAAAAGATTTATCTACCTTTCCTAGAAGCTGTGCCTTGGGGACCTCAGGAGTTAACCAGGGGTGTTTCTTCAAGGGAGTGTTTTAGCTGCCAGACAGAAGTAATCACAGGTAATAGTGTCACTGTTTTCCAAAACCCAAGAATTGGCCCCAGCTAGGCAGTGCTTCTCACTGGCTACAGAGGCAAGCAGGTGCTAGAAACCTCAGCTGAGGCAGCCTCTACTCACTGCTGCCTGCAGGTGGCGCTCTCACAGAAACCAACAGCGCCAAGGTGTGATTGAGGTTCTGTGTCACTACTCAACTGACCCACAGGAGGGAGGGGACAGAGGGGATGCAAGAGGTAAGAAGTAAATCATGGGAGATGTTGAAGCACAAACGGCCCCGATTCCTTCCTGGGAAGGATAGAGTGGAAAAAGAGAGGAGCAGCAGAAACCCTCTGGATGGAAAGGGACCAAAGAGGCCTGCCCTTCACTTGTAACACCACACAGCTGCTGTGTGAGCCCCAGTTCCAGCAATCCAACTGCAAAGAGCACAGGTGCCTCTGGGGAAAAGAAGTGTGCAATGACTCACAGGATACCTTTGATGTCACTAATGGTACTATAGCTGGGTCTTTAACAAGGAACCTTTCCCCATAAGAACCTCAGACTGAAGGACTGGCAGGGAAAATGCCATTGAACAAACCTACCATGGTTTGATGAGGATTTGGGTCTTGAACTCACGAAAGGACATTAACTCCCAGTTATATGCTAATAGTACCAAGTAGTGGAAGCCATCTGCTTGTGGTGACTAGAGGAGAGGCCTAGCAGGAGGCCCTTTGGTCACTGGGGGCATGTGGTTGGTGACAGCCCTCGGGAGAGGCTGGTTGTAACAGCAAAGTCTAGCCCAGGCTCTCTGCTTTCTGGCTCTGTACTCTGCTACCCTGAACCAATGGGGTCACTGGCTCTTGGAGCACGAAGTTCCAAAACTGTGAGCTAAACAAACCCTTTTTTAATAGGAAGTTAGTTTTACCAGGAATTTCGATGTAGCAACAAAAAGCTGATGAATGCAGAACCCAAGGAGGCCCGACCTCCACTGGTGGCCCCAGCTCTCAGTGGAGCAGAACTTCAGGGAGGGTGTAGATGGGGGAGGCTGACAGCCAGAGCATCCTCAAAGGACTGGGCATTGAGGCAGGCTGGGTGACAGTCGGGAGGACTGGGGTGTGTAGGGGGGTGCAGACAGGGACACTGGCAGTTACTGGGTGTGTGGGGTGCACCTGGGGTACTTCCAGCTCTGTCCTCGCAGCCCAAGGCCCACAGTAAGCACATCACAAGCCAGGTTCCAGCACAGAGGCTGAGGGTTGCCCTGGCCTCATCCCTGCTCCAGCATTCCTAAGGGGCCACTCTCACCTCAGAAGCTGGGTCTACAACGCTGGTCTTCCTTTCCCCAGTGCTGCCACTTGGCTGCTTGGATGGTGTTTTCTGGAGGAAGTCCGAGATTCTCTGCACTAAGAAATCGCGATCTTTCAGGTTGGCAAACAGGAAGGTCATTTTACTCTTGGTGCTGATGGACAGGGGCCTGGGTAAGACACTGGAACTGTCAGCTTTTTCAACAATGGTCACCTGAGAAGGCAGAAGCAGTCTCTTGGGTGTTTGCTGTGTGGCTGGATATGCCTTGTAGGTCCATAACTATCCTCAGGCATGTCATAGTGACAAGCTTGACTGGACCCATATGCTGAGCCTGCCACCATGTGCAGCCTTGGGCTCAGTGTTTGCATATCCAAGTCCTACCCTCCCACCTGCCCAGCTCTGGTCACCACTGGCTCTCAGACTGCCCACTACTGCCTGCTCCAAAGCATGGCCAACAGCCCTCACCTGCGAGGCTGCAGCCTTGATCCCAGAAACACTTCTGACAGGGGTCCTGGAGTAGCTTGCAAGCAAAGGGCAGAGGGCTTCCAGCAGACATCTAAGCAAAGCCCACAGCCCAAGGACAGGGCAGATAGTGGGCAAGCTGGGTAAGCAGAGCTAATAGGGCATAAGCTGGCACCTGCTTTAGCCAGGTAGGAGCTGGGGCAGGAGCTGGGGCAGGACGCAGATGGGATGGGCAGTAGACAGTCGTCAGAGGGTAGTGAGACTGGCAGGGGACAGGGGTGAGAAAAGGCTGGTGAGGCTGCACAAAGCGGGGGACAGTGCTTGTGCGTGCATGTGTTAAGTGTTATTTTATGTTCACCTGAGTGTGTGTGCATGTATGTGTGTATGTATGGTGTATATCATGCGTATAGGTACATGTTGTGTACCTGCATGTGTGTGAGTGTATGTATGCATGTGTATGTGCTCAATGTATATCCACAGGTGTATGGGCATGCATGTGTGAATGTGTAATGTGTAGGTATATGTTTCTCTATATGTGCATGTGTGTGTGTGTGTGTAGTGTGGACCTGCACGTGAGCACACAGGTCTGTAAGTGTGTTCTGCATGTCCAGATGTGGGTGTGTATGGGGTCTCATGGGTCACAGGCACTGGATGCCAGTGAACCCTCAGCAGGGATGGGGGTGCTTTGAGTGCTGTGGCTATGACCTGGGACAGGGAGGGGTGGGAACAAAGAATAGGGCAGTGGGTGAAAGGGAAGACAGGAGCGCGATGGGAGAAGCACCATGAGCAGGGAGATTCCAGAGCCACTGCGTTTGCCATGGAGCTGAGTGATCGGATACCTGCAGAGCCCCCAGCTGGGAAGTGAGGAAACAGGTATGCAGGGCACAAGCCCACTCTCCGAGGCAAGACTGCTGTGCTGCCCAGCTCTCTGCCATCTGGCCTCAGGAATCTAGAAACCCTTCCGTGACACTCTGGGCCTGGGGGCTAGCATGAATCCACAGGCCCTTTCTTCCATGAATAACATCTAAACCTCAACCTGCAGTTTAGGGAGATTTTGAGCTCTTGGCCTCTGACTCGAGGAAACTGAGGCAGCACGTTATTCCCACACCCATTCACAGCTACACCTATAGCCCATGGGCTTTGTACACACACCACTGGGCCTCACTGCTCTAGGTTTTAATACAAACAAAATGCTGTGATGAGACTTGAGCTATGGCCTAAGAACCTCACTATGCTTTTTATGAATAGTCACTGCTTTGCCAGGCCAGGACTGGGAGGCTCCCCAAAACCCAAAGAACCCGGAGGCTTTAGTCTGTGTCAGAGATCCCTTCTGCTGTCTTTACTCCTTCATGGCAACACTTGGTCTGGTTTCCACCGGGGCACTGTGGAAGTCCACAAACAAGAGAAGGCATGGTTAGAGGCCAGAGCTGCCCCACCACGACAGGTGACAGCTCATGTGTGATCGTTCCGCCAGTGCTCCAGCCAAGGTGTCTATGTTTGGAAAGAACTGGAAAGGTGGCTTCTGAGAGTGACCTCACGGGGCTGTGCAGGGACAAGAGCCCCTCAATCTAGCCAGGAGGACAGAGCTTTGCCAAAATTGAACCACAGGATTCTGAGAGGGCAGGGTAGATAGAAACACCCCTTTGTCCCAGTGAGAGGATTCGCAGGGATTGCCCTCCTGTCCCCCTGGGGCATACAGCATGCCTGCTCCCAGCTCCATGCCTGGCATCAAGCTGAGCCCAGGTGCTGCAGTTGCAGATGCCCCACCTGTCCTGTCCCAGGCCTGGCGTACATTTCCTGAGGATGCTCACCTCCCTCAAGGGAATGATAAGGTGGCATGCATCCTCTTCTTTGCTGGCAAAACATATGTAGTTGTTGGAGATGAACATCTGGCCAGGAATGTGCAACTTGCTGAATGGTGTCCACAGTGTGCAGCCCGTGTGGCCGTCCAGCCGCTCATCCCTGGGCAGCCGGAAGGTGGCCCGATAGCACTCGTTCTTAGCTCGGGCATCCAGGTCTCTGAGGAAACAAGGTGGGTGCAAAGCAGGCAGGGGTCATACGTGCAGGAGGACTTGAGGCCTCAGTCCCCACATCACTCCCAGAATCCTTGGGGTTCTCCAGGAGCTGGTGGTGCCCAAGGAGCTTACAGTTCAATCAAGGATGCAAATTAAACAAAGGCTAGAGTTGTGCTATAGTGACTTATGCCACTGCCTGCTGTGCTGGTATCCCATATGGGTGCTGGTTCAAGTCCCAACTGTTCCACTTCCAAAACAGTTCCCTGCTAATGCATCTGGGAAAGCAGTGAATGGCTCAAGATCTTGGGCCTGTACCACCCATGTAGCAGACCCAGAAGAAGGTCCTGGCTTTGGACTGGTCCAGCAGTAAGACAGGCAGGTAATCTTGAAATGCACAGGAGCACTGCTTAACAGATGCTTACCCACATGTCCAAGTGCCGAGAGGTAGTGATGGGCACCCTGGTCCTAATCCCTGTGCTGGGCTGCAGGTAACATGACCCTACCAGTCTAGCCCTATTCATCTGCTTTGCGAAGGCTCCCCCACTACTTCCATCTGTAGAGTGACACCCTTGCACAACAGGCTGGTCTTAAAGGCGCCACCAGAGTCTAGGTCTTCACCAGTCTGCTAGTGCACCCCAAGGAAATGGCCCCTGGCAAATGAGGCCTTTGAACACGCCAGTGTCAGTCTGGCTGGCCCACCGTGGCTGGGACTCTGGCCCAGGGAAATGCTGAGATACAACCAGCTTTGTGCAGGTTTCCTGTGAGTCTACAACCTAGGAGCTCATTAAACACAAGCGGTCTGCAGGGGTTGGCCACAAGCACCTATCTCCACAGACAGAGTAGCGATGACCCTGTCTGCCCTGCAGGCTTCAGACTCCAAAGGCCTGGACCTCATGGCTCTGAGGGTCCCTGTGGTATAGAGCTCGAGGTGTGCTCTCTTCATGGGGGGCAGAGGCTGTATTCCCTGAGCCTGGATCCATCCAAGTCCTCCAGATGCAGCCTCAAGGGGGTGTCCGGCCCAACCTCTTGGGGCCCTCAACAAGGGGTACCCATCTTGACTCCACATCTTAGGAATAAGTCAAGTAGTGGCCTGTCTAGCCTTGGTGTCCTCATCTGAGACCTGGGGACAGTAAGGGGACCTTCCTGTCGTAGGGCTGAGAGGAACAAAGTATGTAGAACCTTGCCTATGCCAGTGGTGCTTCTAGGACACTGCTATACCTTCTGGTATCCCGCTCCTTGTGCGGCAATGCAATGAAGTACTGACCTGGCTCCTATCAGCTGGGGGGCCCAGGATGGCTGACTGGAAATCCTCAGTGGATCTGGCCCAAGTGGGCCCATCCTCTCCCACAGTAGGGTCCTCCTGAGCCCCAGAAGGCAACGCACCGCTTCAAAGCAGAGATGTTCCTGTGTGGCTGGACAGGCCTGGGCAGGGCCTTGTCTTCCAGGAAGTCCTCGTTGTCCAGCAGCTGTCGCATGGCCAGGTTGGCCAGCTGCTCCATGAGCTTGAAGGTCTCACCGATGTTGAGGAACATGGAGAAGAAGAGTTCCTGGTCCCTGGTATCCACACGGATGCTCTCGGGGAAGAGGAGGGTGGCATTCTTCTCAAGCCGTGTGACATCCACCCACTGCACCACCAGGCTCACTGGATGCCCATTGGGACAAACAGACCACTGGTTACAGCTGGGAGAGGCAGGGCTTTTGACTCCCACCCACACCCAGAGCCTACTCCCTGAAGGTAGACCAGACCATTGGGGTCCTACTGCCTCAGATCCACTAGGGTTGGTCAGCAAACATTTGCCTCACAAGCAGCAAAGAGTGAAATGAGTTCCTGTTGTGGGTTGCTAAGGTGGCATCTGGGTTTTGGGGGAGATGCTCTTGGTGGCTGTGTGAGCACACAAACTTGGGGGCCAAGAGGAAGAAGACCCAGCTGGAACCTGGTCAGGGAAAAGCCAGGGCTGATGAGGTCAGGTGGCCGGGCCAGAGCTCACCTTCTTTGCCCAGCAGGAAGGAGTAGAAGCACATGTGGTTGACAGTCAGGTATAGCCAGCCCTGTCTGGGCACACGGCCCTTCCAGTAGCTGCAAGAGTAATAGTTGACCAGCTTTTCCCCCTCTGGCATCCCAAACTGCTTCCGCATTTTCAGCTCCGCCTCCTTGAACTTCCCAGGGTCCTCATCTCCCTGGGGCTGCACGTTCTTGTTTTCTTCAGCGATGATGCCCTGAGGGAGGAGGAGAGACAAGGCCGGGCAGGCAGGTCACAGGGAGCAAGGGCCAGGTGGGGCCACAGCTCAGGGCAGGAGGCTGCCTGGGACTCTCAGCCAGTTCCTGCAACTCCCTGGCCTGCGGTCACCACTGGCTCTGAGTACTAACCTGTTGGGATAAATATTTGACCAACTTTGATGCAAAACTGTTGACACAAAGTAGGTTAAAGACACAAAGGCTAAACATTGCTAAACCCAAATGCTCCAAAATTCTACTCCTGAGTGAAGACACGATACTACAAGGGGAATGTCCCACTCAGAGCACAGAAGCACAAGACAAGCAGCACAGCATACTCCTTCAAGCTCTGAGTGAAGGCACCTATGAAACAAAGTAATTCTGTGTTGACACTGGGGTCCCTCCACAGAACATCTCACCATCTCGCTCTGTATACACAAATGGAGCCCAATCTGAACCAAAAATCCTGTCAGGAGCACATCCCTCTTACACACCGCTTTCGATTTCCCCTTTTTCGCCTTTACAGGGGTTCTCCCTGTGGCTCTGTCCTAAAGTATGTTTGGCACTTGACTCCTATGCCTCAGGGTTCTGGCCTCTTGTTCCAGCCTCCAGACCAGCTGAGGGGCCTGCCCAGGTTGTGGAGGGGTGCCCTGCTCCCTGGTACTGCCAGAACCTTCTCAGAGCTCAAGGTGAACATCATCCTGGGATAAATCAGGTCACCTCAAAATGGATCTTCTAGAAGAATAATTACTGGATCAACTAAATTCCAGGGACCAGGGCTGTCGGCTGGACTTGCTAGGCTTCTGGGCTTCTGAGCGGTTATCATCACGTCACAGGCCCAAGAGGCAGACCTGAAGGTGAGGACTGCTCTGATTTCCTCTTAGTACCATGGTGTGGTTGCATCCTCTGACACTTACATGCAGCACAGGGAACTCCTCAGTTCATCTGTTGTTGGGATCTAGAGGAAGGGTTTTGGGGAGGGACTCAGATGAGGCTGTCAGGGTAGGGCTCCCATGAGGATGTCAGTGGGCTTTGTGAGAGGAGTGATCTGAGGTAGCACACCTGTGGTTCTGTGGATAAGGTAGTGAGCTGAACTGGCGGTCACAAACATCCTGCGCCCTATTTCCATCTGGCATGTCAGAGCACCCCTGTTCCCAGAGTGCTCTGCTTTCATCTGGGACCTGGGCAATGGTCACCACATAAATATGTATATTTTATGGAAGTATCATCAACTTCCCAGGTGATCACATCGCTTCACAAGAGGAGGCGCTTTCCCTCTCTCCTGTTGGAGAAAAGGATGAGAGAAGGTACTGCCATTCTACTTTATTCTCCAACCTCTTTCTCTCTCCAGCCTAATCTATGCCTGTGTGTGTACATGTGTGTGTCTGTGTGCACATGTGTTTATTTGCTTTCTTATTTTCTGAGTAAACTTTAAATATCATATATGTACTTGTGCTTAAAGTGCTTTTTAAGTAAAAGTCAATCTGGAATAAACAATAAAATTAGAGTCCACCTCTCCCATATCATTGCTCCAGGATAACAATCCACACCCCTAGGGCTCCACACAGTCCCTGCAGCCAGAGGCCTCTACCCAGGAGCTCTAGGACTGTCTGCAGAGGAACCTCTTTGCTTCATAAGATACTCAGGTATTCTGTTATAGGAAGAAAAACATGGAATGACACGCTATGTAAAAGTTTCCTACCAGGTTTTCTCTACTTCCTTGTTAGCAATCAGCCTGTTGGAAACATTGCTATATGAAATTGTCTATCTACCCACCTCCTTCCCTCGACCAAAACAGACAACCTAGACAGGGAGGGAAACTAGAATACACTGCCTGAAAACATGTCCCCTTTGACGTAACAATTATTCAGGGCTGAAAGCAATTCAGTTTTCCCCATCCTTTCTGCCTACATGCAGGATGTAGATTCTCCTTTAGTGGAGACGTCAGACCTTCCTCAGCTTAGAGATGGCAAAAGAGGCCTCTGGGGGCAGACATCACTTTGCTTCTCTCATACTTAAGCTCCTCACAGCTTCTGAAATCAGTCTTTGTTGTTGTTGTTGTTGAAAAGGACCCAATGCTGTGTTTCATAAGAACTTTGCCTAAATACAGCCATGACACACCAGCAGCCAGCTGTAAAGAGAGCTAAGTGGCAGAGATGGGAGTATGGGAGGGAGTTCAGATGTGAGCAGAGAGAAGTGTTGAGCCAGGTGGGCATTCTCAGAGCAGACAAGTACACTCCAGACAGACTCTGAGAGCAAGTGCCTGGTTTACATTTAGACTGGGGTCTCCAAAGGCCGGGGGTCTTGTTCTTCCTGCTGTTTCTCCTTCCCTTTTTCCCTCTTATCCTGAACAAAGGATTTGCTGTGTTTGAATTAGGCAAATTTTCTCCCAAGGTTTTATGACACAGTGTCATCAGTCTGGGTAGTCTAGCTGGTGCTGGGTAGGTGCAATTCCCTTAGGGTAACTTCTCAGGGGGAAGGCTGTGAAGTTTTCTTTTTGTTTTTATTGCTCAATATTATCAGGCTAGGTAGCCCACCAGCTGCTGGGCAGAGGCGACTTCCCTAGGGAGCCTGCTTGGTGGGGAAGGTTGGAACCACCTGCAAGGCTACTAGAGTAAAAGCAGGACTTCATGGTATAAAAACCAGGCTGCTTCTCAGGTGTGCTTCCAAGGCTGTTTCCTTCCTTTTTGTCATCCTAGAGACCCTGCACACACAATTCCAACTATGTAACCACAGGAGACTCCTTATAAGTTTTCTCACACGTCAATTCTTGGAACTGTTCTGAACAAACAGTTTTTGCTAGAACCACAGTGTAACCTCCCTCTCCCTAACCCATCTTCCTAGCAACACCCAACCCCCATTGCCTTCTTCCCTTGCTTTTATGTCTCCCTAGTTGCTCAGTCAATGAGAAATCTGTGAGACAGGGACAAAAGGAACTGATCTTCCCAACTTCCACCTGCCAGCCACTACTTTCCAGATGGCGTTATTAACAAACACCTTGCCTTCTGTTTCCTTCATGTTTCTGAGTCCTTCCTTTGGTAGGTGGGTGCTTAGGTGGGTTTATTTCTCACACTGTCCTGTCACTTCTCTTTAGGTTTACTGATCCTTTGTTAAGGGGCAATATGAAGCTGAGTTCTAACCAAACCCTCTTGCTGCTCTTTCCTGAGTATCTCCTGTGTGTATGTGATACACACCTATCAATAAATGTTGCTTCGGAGCCGGCGTCACGGCATAGTGGTTAAAGCTGCTACCTGAGAGGCCAGTATCCCATATAGGAGCCCTGGCTGCTCCACTTCCCATCCAGCTCCTGGTTAATTGCTGGGGAAGGCAACAGAAGATGGCCGAAGTGCTGGAGTCCTTGTAACCCACTTGGGAGACTCAGATGAGGCTCCTGGGTTTAACCTGGTCCAGCCCTGGCCATTGCAGCATCTGGGGAGTAAACCAGCAGATGGAAGCTCTCTATCTCTGCAGCTCTTTCAAATAAATAAATAAGTAACAATCAAATCTAAATAAAATAAGTGTCTGCTTGTTTTCCCCTTGCTAATCTACCTCTTGGTTTTTTTTTTTTAAAGATTTATTTATTTTTATTGCAAAGCCAGATATACAGAGAGGAAGAAAGACAGAGAGGAAGATCCTCCGTCTGATGGTTCACTCCCCAAGTGACCACAACGGCAGGTGCCATGCTGATCTGAAGCCAGGAACCTCCTCCAGGTCTCCCAAGCGGGTGCAGGGTCCCAAGGTTTTCGGCTGTCCTCGACTGCTCTCTCAGGCCACAGGCAGGGAGCTGGATGGGAAGTGACGCTGCTGGGATTAGAACAGGCATTAACATGGGATCCTGGCGTGTTCAAGGCAAGGACCTTAACCACTACGCCATGGCGCCAGGCCCAATCTACCTCTTGTTACAGAGTTCCAGCCACGACCCCAATCAAATAGAAGGAAAAATGGCTTTCCTTCCCTCCTACAAGCCCCAGTAACTGTAACCTAAGTCTTGTCTTGTCTTCTCTCCTGTCCTCTCCTCTCCACTCCTCTTCTCTTTAGTCTTCTTTTAAATATTTATCGATTAATTTTAAAAGAGTTACAGAGAGAGTGGGAGAGACAGAGAGATCTTCCAACCAGTTCCAAATGGCTCTAATAGCTAAAGGCTGACACAGGATAGCTAGGAGCTAGGAGTGTCAACCAGGTCTCCCAAATGGCTGAAGGCTGCTACCTTCCCAAGTACATTAGTCGGGAGTTGAATCGGAAGTAGAGGAGTCAGGACTCAAACTGGCTCCCATATGAAATGCTGGCATTGCAGACAGTGGCTTAACCCACTACATTGCAACATCCACTGAAAGCCTCCTTTGGTAAGCTGCCAGTGTGTCGTCGCAAGGAGCTGCTTCAGGAATCAGCTGTATGCCTAGACAATACAAGGGGACTTCAAAACATTTATGAAAAGAAAATGGACTAGAAGATAAGCTTATTTTGGTCCAGAATTTTTTTGAAATTATATATATGAGAAGCTTCAAAATGTTTATGGAAAATGCATTTGACAAAAAAGCATGGATTTAAAACCTTTTTAGTACCAAAATAAACCTGTGTTTAATTCTATTTTTCCTTTCCATGGTCTTTTTTTTTTTTTTTAATTTATTTACTTGATCTGAGAGGTAGAAAGTCAGAAATAGCGCCTACCCACTGTTTCAGTTCCAAATGCCCACAACAGCTGGTGCTAGGCCAGGTCTCCCACGATGGTGGCAGGGACCCAGTCACTTGAGCCATGACCTTCTGCCACCCAGGGTGTGTGTTAGCAGGAAGCTGGCATTGAGAGCACTCCCATAAAGGATGTGGGCCTCCAATGGGTGGACTAAAAGCATGAGGCCAGATGCCTCCTGCCCCTGTAAAAATGAAGGCATGCAGGCCAGTTACAGAAGTGACTTGAAGATGTTATGCTGTTGGCAGCAAAGCAAAGGGGCCAATAGCGAGGGGCACAGGAAGCCTCTGGAAGCACTCACCAAAGGCCAGGAGGCAGAGTCCCCTCTGAGAGCCTCAAGGGGAGCCAGCCCTGCCCACACCATGAATTGAGAGTGTTTCACCTTCCAAACTATAAGATAATAAATCACTGCTGCTCAGAGCTGCTGGGTTTGTGATAACTTACTAAAGTACTAATTTAAAGCTAATACACAATGTTTTTGGGAAATGCCCACTTTGTTTTTATATTTCTTGACTCAAAGCTATTCCTGACATTCTTCCTCCCATTTGAAACTGTGTTTTTTGGCCCTGTGCATGTGCTGGGATTCCATGTGGCCACTGGTTCATGTTCTAGCTGCTCTACTTCCCATCCAGCTCCCTGCCTGTGGCCTAGGAAAGCAGCTGAGGATGGTCCAAAGCCTTGGGACCCTGCACCTCAGGGGAGACCCAGAAGAAGCTCCTGGCTTCTGGCTTTGGATCAGCTCAGCTTCGGCTGTTGCGGACACTTGGGGAGTGAACCAAGAGTTGGAAGATCTTCCTCTCTCTCCTTCTCTCTGTAAATCTGCCTTTCCAATAAAAATCAGCAAATCTTCAAAACTGTGCTCTTTATAGGTACCCCTCAGGTTCACATTCCTCACTGCTCTTTTGCGCTGGGTCACCTGCCCCATGGATCTGCTTCACTTCTGGATGGCTTCCTTGTTTTCTATGGAATTCACTTTGGCTCACTGGTATTTCCTTCCGCCTGGCCTCCTGGTCTCTCTGTTTCTTTCACAAACTCACTCACCTGGGCACTTGGCTCATTGGTTTTGGCCCTTTTCTCTTTCACAAGCTCTCAGCTTTTACACTGCCTTTCATGTATTGTACCTTTGCTGTGTCCCACAAAATCTGACTGATAGTGCATTTACTTGATCATTAAATCTCAAATGTTTTCTAATTTCCACTTTTCAAAAACACATTTTTTCATTTATTTGAAAGGCAGAGACAGGATGTGCATAACAAGGAACGGAGGGAAGGAGGAGGGAGGCAGAGGGAGAAAGCAAGAGAGGAAGAAGGAGAGAGCTCGATCTTCTGGTTGCTGTTTCACATGCCAAATGTCTATAAGAGCTAGACCCAAGCTAGGAGCCTGGCACTCAACCCAGGTACCCCACGTGAGTGGCAGGGACCCACTGTCTTTCACGATGAGTGATAGCAGGAAAATGGAATCAGAGGCAGAGCTGACAACTGAAACCAGGAACGCTGACAAGGCATGTGGGCGTCCAAGCTGTGTCTTCACCACTGTGCCAACACCCACTCCTAATTTCTCTTTCTTTGACCCATGAATCATTTAGAGGTGTTTTTTCCCCATTATTGCTCAGTTTGTTAGAGCCTTGGCAAACTTGGAGTCTTCAAAAGTCCATGGAAAATGCAGATTGTGAGAAAATCACCATGGATTTACACATTTTTTGTACCAACAAAATCCTATCTTTTATGGGCAAAGCAGGTAAAGCTCACTGTCTGCTATGCCAGCATCTCCTATGGCGCTGGTTCGTGTCCCAGCTGCTCCACTTCCCTTCCAGCTCCCTTCTTGTGGCCTGGGAAAGCAGTGGAGGATGGCACAATGCTCTGGCCACCACAGCCACTTGGGGAATGAACCAGTAGGCTGAAGATCTTGCTCTCTTTCTCTCTCTCTGCTTTTTTTTTTTTTTTAAATATTTGTTTATTTTTACTGGAAAGGCGGATACACAGAGAGGAGGAGAGACAGAGAGGAAGATCTTCTGTCTGATGGTTCACTGCCCAAGTGACTGCATCGGCTGGAGCTGAGCCAATCCGAAGCCAGGAGCCAGGAGCTCTTCTGGGTCTCCCAAGCGGGTACAGGGTCCCAGGTTTTGGGTCGTCCTCGACTGCTTTGCCAGGCCACAAGCAGGGAGCTGGATAGGAAGCAGGGCCGCTGGGATTAGAATTGGTGACCATATGGGATCCCGGGCGTGGAAGGTGAGGACCTTAATCACTAAGCTATCGCGCAGGGCCCTCTGTCTTTCTTTCTATTTGTAGATCTGCCTTTCCAATAAAAATAAATACATCTTTAAAATCGTAAACAAACAAACAAACAAATAAATATATCCTTATCTGTGAATTCTATTTTCTGTAAACTTTTTGAAATTCCCCCCAGAATAGGAAGCATTAGGTTACGCTGCTATCATTCGGCTATTGCCCAACTTGCTCAATGTGTGACTCCATATTCTTTGCCAGGATTCTGTTGTGTTCTTGGAACCAGGAGGTAACATAGGGCCTGCCTTGATTCCTGAATGCACAGAGAAAAAGCAGAGGAGCTTGGTGCCATCTGTCCAATCCTGTGAAGCTTTGGAGGTTGAGGCCTACTCCTAGCAACTGGACAGTCAGAACTCTTCTAGGAGACCAACTGAAAACAGTATGTCCACTCAAATGTTCATTATACCAGTAATCACATCTAAAAAAACAACCTAGATACCACTATGAGGTCAGTTGTTACACGCGGTTACAATGGTAACAATCATTCTTTTGATGGCTGCATTAAGTATAACCACCTATAATCCAACAAGTCCCCTCTGAAGACAGAGCACTCAGCAAGGTACCCACATAGCACTCAGCAAAGGTGAGTGAGTACCAGAGAAAGGCTGCTTCCTCCCTCCTGTTGCTGGCAGGCACCAGTTCCCGGGTTTGCACACTCAGTGTTGTAGGGAGCATCCAGATCCATGTGCACTGCTGCATACAGGTACCCTTAGGGGCAGTGAGTTCAATGACTCCTTTTCAACCCTTCAATTTGCATCTCTAAAATGAGGGTAACACTTCTACCATGTCGTGTGCAAATGAAACAAGACAGTATACAGCCATCATCTTCTACCTATGAAGACCTGCATACAGCCCCTCTGCAGATACCAATATCCACCGAAGCTCAATGCTGCTTCCCTTAGAATGATGTGGTATTTTCAAAGAACCTACACAATCCTTCTGTGTGCTTTGAACCCAATCTCCAGATTATTACAATAGATAAATCAGTGTGAATCTACATTAAGTACTTACTATACTGCATTATTTAGGGAATGAGGACAAGAAAGAAAACCGGTGTACGTCCAGCACTGATCCAATATTTTTCCTGGATATCTGCAATCTGTGGTTGGCTGAGCCTGGATGAACAGTCCATGGATGTGAAAGGCTGTGTGTGAGCACTTCCAGCCACAGAAGTTAGCAGAAATGTAAGGCTTGGGCCCAGCATGATGGCTCAGTGGCTAAATATTTGCCTTGCATGCACCAGGATCACATATGAGTGCCAGTTTGTACCCTGGCTGTTTCACTTCCCATTTAGCTCCCTGCCTGTGGCCTGAGAAAGCAGCAGAGGAGTTCCCAAAGCCTTGGAACCGTGCATCCACATGGGAGACCCAGAAGAAACTCCTGGCTCCTGGCTTTGGATCACCTCAGCTCTGGCCACTTTGGCCACTGGACGAGTGAACCAGCAGATAGATCTTTTTGTCTCTCCGTAAATGTCTTTCAATAAAAAAAATGAATAAATCTTAAAAACAACAACAAACTGTAAGGCTTACGTGTATTTTTCCCTTGACAAAGGTGGTGATATCCTCCTCATTATCAAAGATGGACAGTGTCTGAAGTAAGTTATTTTCCAGCCATTCCCAGTGTTTTGTGATTTCTTTGCGGGAAGAACCTAGAAGAATCATGAAGTAAAGAAAAAAGTTTGTAAAATTGCTATGCCAGATGCATAGGTTGAAACAAAGAGTCCTGGGGGAACCATTTGGTGCAGCGGTCAGGACGCTGCTTCCGGGGCTGGTGTGTGCGTGGTAGGTTCAGCCTTTGCCTGCACGGCTGGCCTCCTAAGTGAGCACTAGTTCGAGCCCTGGCTGCTAATAGTCTGAGAAAGCAGCAGAAGATGGTCCAAGTGTTTGGAACCCTGCACTCATGTGGGAGATTTGGAAGAAGCTCTGGCTTTGGATCAGCCCACATCCAATTAATGCAGCCAGCTGGAGAATGAATCAACAGATTAAAAAAACCTCTTGGGCCTAGTCTGATGTCTCTCTCCTTGTACGTGCCAGCATCCCACATGGCTGCCACTTCGTGTCCCAGCTGCTCCACTTCCTAGCCAGCTCGCTGCCTGTGGTCTGGGAAAACAGAAGAGGATAGTTCAAAGATTTGGGACCCTATTCCCATGTGAGAGACCCAGAAGAAGCTCCTAGGTCCGAATTGGCTCAGTGCCGGCCCTTGCAGTTACTTGAGGAGTTAACCAGTGGATGGAAGATCTTTCTGTCTTTCCTTCTTGCTGTAAATCTGTCTTTTCCAATAAAAATAAATATATATATTTAAAGATATATATATATATATATATATATATATATTTCACTTGCTTGCTCTCTAAATGCCTTTCAAATAATATATATTTTAAGATGTCCCATATCAAAATGCATGGGCTCAAGTCTCACCCCTACTGCTTACAGCCTTTTGATAATGTGCATCCTGACAGGAAGCAGGTGAATGCTCAAGTATATTGGGTCCCTGCCACCCAGTTGGGCAGCCAAGATGGAGGGCCAAGCTCTTGGCTTCCATTTGGCCAGCCCTAATTACTGTGGGCATTTGTGAACCAGTGGATGGAAAAACTCTGTCACTGTTGCCGTCTCTTTGCCTTTCAAATAAAATAAACAAAACTTTTGTCAAGGATTTGTTAAAAAAACAAAATGGAAGGGCCTTGGATGGTAGCCTAAGCCCTTGCATCTGCCAGGACCTCATGTGAGCACTAGTTTGTGTCCCAGCTGCTCTACTTCCCTTCCAGCTCCCTGCTTGTGGCCTGGGAAAGCAGTGCACGATGGCCCGGGACTTTGGGACTCTGTACCCATGTGGGAGACCTGGAAGAAGCTCCTGGCTTCGGATCAGCTCAGCTCCAGTCATTGTAGCCACTTGGGGAGTGAACCAGTGGATGGAATATCTTTCTTTTTGTCTCTTTCTCTCTGTAAATTACTTTCCAATAAAAAGAAAAATCTTAAAAAAAATAGATAAATGGAAGACCTAATCTGCCAAGTGTGTGTGATGAGAAGCTTTAAACTACTTGGTCTTTTCTAAAACTTTTCTGTATGTAACAAAAAGAATGAACAGTCCTGGTAAAAATCAAAGAACAGAATTCAGGCAGAGTCACAGTTGGTCACTGTGCCTCCCTAGTCTGGGATAACATGTAAGAACTGTTCAGGTTGACAGAACTTAACATGGTCTTTGGCATCCCAGTGCCTCAGGAGACGCAGACTGGAGCAGCGACTCCACCTTGCTCATGAGAGTTCAGGCATCCAGAGCTGCCAGCTACAGGTTCCTACAGGACTCCAGGCCCTGGCTGGCCAGGCTCCTGCTGGTTGGGCAAGCAGCTACCACCCTTCTTTTCAGCTTTACTAGCTGGCTCTGCCTCTGGCCTACAAATGACCCCTGTCCCTCTGCAGCATGGGACCCTGGAGGGTCCATCAGACACCAAAGGAAAACGAAAAAACAGGGCAGGAAGCACCACACTACTTCCTGAGGGCAAGAAAACTCTTATGTCCATCAAGAAATTGGGGAAAGGGAACCAGAAAACAAGTCAGAGAATGAGAGTTCTCCTGGCCTGCCTCACCTTACAACCGGCACCCTACCTAGCATGTCTGGGTGGGAATCACACTCAACAATTGTTTTCTGATGAATGAAGAAAAGGACAATAGGAAGATGAATGACTCATATCCTCCTCAGGGGTCCTGGGTAGAAGAGTCTGAGGACTAAAGGCCCAAGAAGGCCAAGTCAATCATGTGACTCACAGGAAGACTGGCATGTGGTGAGCCTCAGCCAATAACCAAGCCCAGTGGGCATGAATCGGGCTTTTTGTCTGGGGTGCCTGATCCTGGCCACCCCATCTTTTCCTTCACTGTAACCTTCTCTTCTTCCTACTCAATGCCCACAGAACCCCAGCTGGCCAGGCGAGGTAGGTCCCTGCCACTCTTTTTAGCTCACAGTGGTGTTTGTTCTGCCACAGCCCAGTAGTCTCAGCTCAAAATGCTCATCAACCTAATAAGGGAAGAGCCTCCCCAATGTGCCCACATGAAAATGATCTCCCTGGAGTTACATAACACACAATGAATCACAGCAGGCTGTGGCAATCACCCCATGATCCCTAAAGTCATCCATACATTTGCTTTCCCCTTGGTTTTGCATCTGTCGCAAAAAGGCCAAGGTCTGGTTGCTAGGGAAGGGATTTCTTCGTGTGATCTCTCTGCCTTTTCGTCAAGAGTACGTGGTTCAGTTAGGAAGTTAAAGTTACAACTGCCACACTTCTACTGAGTCATTCCACCCCACATTCTTGGCACCTAAAACAGAAGAGTTCTTCTCCATGCCACCTGTGTGGATGTCTTCAGTTAAGTGTTTGCTTACGTGCATTTAAAATGAGTAGCTAAAAAATAACTCTGCCTTCATTTGACAGAAAGTTGTATACAAAGGATGAACAAACTATACCATCTCTATGGAAGGTATTAGGCATAAAAATAAAATAGCTAATTAGACTATTCAATGCTACTTCTGTTTTCAGAACTTGCCATAGGTTATCTTATTCTCAGAAAACACAGGAGACAGAGAATCCATTAACATTGGGTTAAGTAAGTTGTTCAAACACACAGTTGTCAAGCGGACAACATGGAGCCGCAGCCCAGATTGGCTGGCCGCAGAGGCCACTATCACCTTCAGGAGCTGCTGGCCTAATGGGAGACACTTTCTTTCTTTCTTTTTTTTAAAGATTTATTTTTACTGGAAAGTCAGAATTTATAGAGTGAAGGAAAGACAGTAAGATTTCCCATCCACTGGTTCACTCCCCAAGTAGCCACAATGATTAGAACTCAGCCAATCCAAAGCCAAGAGCCAGGAGCTTCCTCTGGGTCTCCCAGGTAGGTGTAGAGTCCCAAGGCTTTGGGCTGTCCTCTATTGCTTTCCCAGGTCACACGCAGGGAGTTGGATGGGAAGCAGGGCAGCCTGGACACAAACCGGCACCTATATATGGGATCCCGGTGGGCATGCAAGGCAAGGAATTTAGCCACTAGGTTACCATGCTGGGCCCTAATGGGAGACACTTACATGGAGAGTGCTTTTGGAAACAAGGGTCTAAGGAATCTGGGGAGGCTTTCTTGGGTGGTGACATCAGGAGAGTCTCAGCAGAGCAGGAGGGAAAGCTAGGCAGATATGAGACTTGGAGCATATGGATAGGAGTTTCAGGTCTTGTAAGTGTGCAGTCTGACTGAAGGCCAGGCACTGAACAGGAAGGATGAGGACAAAAATATAGGCAGGGAGACCCTGGAAGTCTTTCAATGCCAAGCTCAGGGGCTGGGATGCCCTAGCCAAGTGAGCCACTTCTAGAGTCAAAGCAGGATGGTGGGGGTGGGAGGCTCGGGCCAAGGCCCAGGTAGGCAGGTGGGACTAGTCAGGGTATGGTGTGAGGTGACGGACTGGTGTTTCACAATGTGGCAAGGCCTCCATAGCACCAGGCTGTGTAGTCACCAAAGGGACTCGTGCCCTGTACCAGAGACTCCCATTCTGCAGCCATGATTCCCCTCCCCACAGAGGAGCTGCCTCCCCATACCCTTCTGTTCCTAGCACATGAACTCACTGATTCTGCAAGGAGACTCCTGGGGGGTTCCATGTTAAAGTAACTTCCAGCCACTGTGTTGCCCAGGCACACCTCGGTCTCCTGGACCCAGCTCAGGGCAAGGCCCAGTCTTTAGCTCCCATAGGCCATGGGCTAGCTCACCTTTCTAATTCTTTTTAACTCATTAAGACCTGCAATTTCAACTCTGTGACTACTTCAGTGACATATTTTAGTCACGTTAAGTACTCAATTCAAGTATCTATTGGTGTCCCACATGTAGGACAATGCGACATAATGGGCTGAGTTTAGTCACTTCACAAAGGGTGGATGCTCAGTGAGTGGAGGCTGTCCCTGGGCTGCTGCCCCTCTGTGCTTTTACCCCTTTGCTCATGTGTCCTGCTATGATGCCTCCAAGGAAGACCACCATCCTGAGGGACAGGACCCCATGGCTTCTGGCCTGTAGAGGCTTCTTCTGTGGTTAGAGCAGAGGGTCTGATGTGAGCTGCAGCTGTGTGACTCAATCCTGCCTCTGGACCAGTATTTTGCTCTTAGAAACAAAGAAAGTCAGAGCTCCTGTGTGTCCTGGAGCTGTGGGAGGGTCAGACAAGGGTCCAGCACACGTGGGAAAAGAGTATGAGTGCCAGCTGTGGCTTCATTCCATCAGTGTCCTCTGAAGGGGTACTCCTCCCCTACTCTTGGGAAGGGTTGGGGCTCTTTCTCCTAGGAGAACAACCACAGCAGATTCCTGTTACCCATGAGTCTGATTCAGAAAGCCCCTTGAACTCTGAATCACAGAATGCTAAACCACTAATGTCCTCAGAAGGGTTATGTAAATGGTGTATTACGTAAACAAACTATGCACAAATTGCCAATCTTCTTTTTGTCATTGTTGCTATCAATATAAACTCATCTTCTAGCTCCACTTCTGCACAAACTTTCTGAGTACCTCCATATAACTCATGCTCATCTAACACACATTTCCTGTCCCCGGGAACAGCAGATGACATTTCAACACCATGCCGGGATCCCATTTTCAACACTGACATCAACGGAAAGCACAGAAGTAAAAAAAGTGGTGGTTCTGCATAGTGTGGTACCAAGCTGATCAAAAGACACACTCACTATGTGAGCACTGAATCCAAAAGGCAGATGCCACCCTGTCCACCCCCACCAGGGACATGCAGAGCAGATGACTCAGATGTTTCACCATGTTGTACACATGTACAAATACCTCCAAATGAGCATGAAACCACCCACAGATATTAATTTGAGGGTTATAAATTTTAGAGAGTAAGCAGACTTGAAAATATGGAATTGCTCAGCAATGAGGCCTACCTATCTGCCCCAGAAGAGACAGCCATGAAAATAAGGTCACAGGCAAGCCTGGAGCCTGTGCCCTGTTACTGGGGCTCCAAGGGAACATCTGCTCTCCGCTCCATCCCTGCGAACAATGGGGCTGCCTTTCTAAGCTGGAATCTGCAGTCCTCCCACCTCCTTCTTGCTGGCTGTGTGGAGAGACCGCCAGGACATGTAGGCTGTGGTCTCCTCCTTCCAGGGGCTGTCTGTATAAGCAGGCCATGCATAGCACCCTTCATGACTCAAGGAACCTACCGCATGCCACTGTCCAGTAGACCTGCGAATCCTGGGTCTGGTGCAGGATGCGGTAGGGGGCCACACGGGCGCTGGAGTCCAGCACCACATCCAGGGTGCCCACGAGAAGACCTGGGGGCAGGGCAGAGAGATGTGAAGAATGAAGAGAGGTCGCTGCAGGCAGAGGCTGATAGTCTGCCTTGGGATGGCAGTGTGATGACGGCATTATCTGAAGGCCTGAGCGCAAGGAGAGAGACATCCTGGCTCCTCCGTGCTCACAGGGTTTCTTTTCCTCAGACACTCTCAGCTGGAGCCCAATCTCAACCACAACGTCCCTTCTTTCTTATTAGAAGCGTCTGCTTCTTCTCCTGGCTCAGAACCCCAAAACGCAGGTTTTATGGAATTCAAAGCTAAACAATTCTGTGAGACTTTTTTCAACACAAAAAATGGGAGGGTGCTGTGACGTAGTGGCATGTGGTGCTGGCATTCCATGTGGGTGCCAAACAGAGCCCCAGCTCCTCCACATCCAATCCAACTCCTTACTAATGTGATCATGGTATCTCCCCTGCCAGGTAAGTATAAACTCCTTAATAATGTGTCCAGGAAACAGCGGAGAATGGCCCAAGTCCCTGAGCACCTGCACCCATGGGTCTCCCCAGTGGGAGACCCACATGCAGTCTCTTGGCTTCAGCCTGGCCCAGGTAGGCATTTGAAGAGTGAACTAGTAGATGGACCATCTCTCTTTAGAAGGCCTCTATGGAAAGAAAGGCTTTCAAAAAAAATTCTTGAAAACCACACAAAAAAAATGATGATTTCTTTACAATCTATATGTAACAGTTAAGAACTGAAAACTTTAAACATACCACAAATATTACAAAACCCAGAAAACTATCACCCTGTTTTATCAGCTGTCAGATATTTCTCCCTGATGTTTCTGGCTGTGAGTCTGCCACCTCGCACCTGTCTGTGGAAGGCTGGTATTGTTCCTATCAGAACTGGGAGAGGATGAACTTTCCTCTGCTCTGGGGTCACGCGTTCCATTAGACTCACAGTTTAAGGAAGTTCCTTCCTTCAGCTTTGAAAGTCAGTACCAAAAAGGTCACAAGCACTTTTAGAATTGGCACTTTTGGGGAATATACTGATCTGGGTTTTTTGTCTCTGCACGAAGTTTTTAGGGAGTTTTGGGCTCTCTTCATCATGCGCCTTTTCAGAACTGTTAACACACACGTCCAGTTCACAGCAGGGCAGTTGTGGCTGGCTTCTCTACTTTAGACACATCAGCTGGAGACATAAAATCTTCTATACTTTTATCTGCTTTATTCCTGCATAGCTAAGCAATCTAAAAAACCCATTTATTGTTTTTGTTTGGAATTTGTCTTCCTTTTAATGCTTATTGTGACCATGTTCCTATTGATGTCAGGAAATTATTTCTACCAGTTAGCTTTAGCATTTGTTTGTCTATTATTTTACAGATTTACTTATTTCAAAAATTCAAGTTACACAAAAAGAGGAAGAGTCACAGAGCTCTCTCTTTCACCCACTGATTCACTCCTTAGATGGGTGGCGATGTCTGGGACAGGCCAGAGCCGGAATTTTTATCTAGATCACCCACATGGGTGGCTGGGCCCAAGAGGTTGGACCATCTTCCAATGCTTTTCTCAGGTAATAAACAGGGAGCTGGATGGCAAGTGGAGCAGACTGGATATGAACCAACAGAGGAGTCCACAGAGGATACCAGTGTCACAGACAGTGGCTTATCCACTAAGCCATAATGCCAGCCCATAGTCCATTAATTTTTAATGTTTTCTTTCTCTAGTCTTTAGCAAATAGAAGCAATGATTACAAAAGAAGGTGCATACATACATTCAAATCATGAGTTTGTAATGTCTCATCTGTTTTACTTAAAACAATCAAGAGGATGCTTAAACTTTGTCAGTGTTTGGGATAAAACATCTTGATTGCTTATGTTGGGGTTTCTCTTGTAAATGTTAGTCTTTAAACTGTCGGCATAATCATGTTGCGAGACCTGAATGCTTTTAAGTGGGCCAATTATCTCACCACACGGACTCCAACACAAAGTCCAAGGAAGGGAACATGTGAAAACGATGGCTTGAAGAAAACTACATCAGTGCCACTTTGACAGTGCCTGCGAGGCCACAGTGTCTGTGATGGCAGAGAAGGCCACGGTGGAGGCTACAGCAGGATTCACTCCACCTCAGAAGGTGGCGGGGGTTCAAGGAGCAGTTCCCTGGGCTGTGGTAGTATCTGCTCCCGAGGGAGACAGCAGTGCATGGGCTTCATGGGATGTGAGTTTTGGCAGGAGACATGGAGAAGTGGAGCAGACAGGAGAAAGGCCGTCACAGTCCCCATCAATTGAGATGACCTAGGGCAGAATAAGCGCAGAAGCACGCTGGCACCGCTGTCACAAAAGTGACTGGACAGCAGGCACGTTGTTTTCTTCCATGGATTGTGGCAGCTCCCAGGCAGATCACGGGACTCTCCAAGGGGCCGCTGGCTAAGCCAAGGAGGCAGGCCCAGCATGGCCTGGCCTGGCTGTTGAGGGCTGCTGGGAGGGTGCCAGAAGCATACAAGAGAACACTGAGTTTTCTTGGAAGCGGGTACAATCTCTTCTAAATTAAGAGGCGTAGCCCAAGACTGGCTGGGCGCAGAAATAACCTGTGGGAAGCCTCTGTCTGGGACACTGAAAATTAGCATGTTCCGCAGAAAGTTCTACTGAAAAACTGGAAGATGGGGCAACCTTGGGCCAGCATCCACGGGGCAACAATCCGCACCCAGAGGAAGGCATGCCCTGGTCTCCCCGCGGGCCAGTCCTAAGCCTGACACAGCTCTGCTCCTGGGGCTCTTGGGTCACACCTGCAGAGGGGGTGTGGCACAGGTTCCGCCAGGGGGAACAGGTGCATAATTGGGGTGCCCATCCAGGCTCCTTCGGTGTGACAGGCCCAGGCACCCCGCGGCTCCGGGGCTGCACAAAGCAGGGAGGCAGGGAAGCAGAAGCGGGGGAAGCGGGCCCGAAGGCCTGCGTCTGCCGGTCTCAGAACGAAGAAGGGACAGAAGACAGTGCTTGTGTCACTTGGGGCCCCAGAGGCACTAGGGTCACCTATGCGGCGGAGGACGGGCCCTGGGAGGAGCGGCTGACTCTGGGCTGAGGTGTCCACTCCGAGACGCTGCACCACCGCAGGCTCGAGGGTCGCGGCACTGACCCCAACCCGGGCCCCCTCGGCCAGGTCCCCCGTGCAATCGCGGCCCCTCTTCTCCTCACGCCCCGTTCCGTCGCCGCCGCGCGCCCGCCCGGCCATCCCCGCGCCTCCCCGCGCCCCACAGGCCCGGCCACCCGCGCCGCTCACCCGTGAGGCCGCCGCCCTTGCCGTGGCCCCGGCGCCGCTGCAGCACGAAGAAGGGGTTGGCCCGCTCCGTCACCCACAGCGCGTTGGCCACCAGCACCTCCTCGGGGCCCAGCCGGCCGACTGCGGCGCGGCCCCGTGCGTGGTGACATTGAGGCGGGCCTCTGGGGAAGGGCCAGGTGGGCCATGCTCCTCGGGCTAGGAACCTGCAGAGCCGGTGCCAGCTCGTCAGGAAGCCCCGAGCCAGGCAGGCGTCCCTCCCGGGGAAGGCGTCGCTGCGGCCTGGCGGCCATCGGCTGGGGGCTGGCCGAGGCGGGGGAGGCTGCTGCGCAGGCGCGGGCGCCGCAGGCCGCGCAGGGCCGGCCCTGCCGCTGTCGACCTGTAGGGGGCAGAATCCTCCTTGCTCAAACACCGGCGCCTCCCTGCCACCGAGCAGGAGGCAAAACAAGCGCCAAGTGACTACGGGTGCCCGGCGAGGCAGTTCTGTGTGCCAGGCGCTGAGGAAGCAGCGCTGAGGAAGTCTCCATCCCCCTGGAAGGAGGCGGCGAGCTTCCTCTGGGGCATAGCTGTGGGTCTCGGGTCGGCTGCCCCTGTGCAGACGATGGCGGCACCTTGGGGTCCCCTGAGGCTTGAGCTGCTCAGGGGCTGGCTTCTGTCGTGGGCGTCCAGGAGGCCAAGTGTGAAGAAGGTCGACATCTGGATGGACAGCGAGTCCTCTGCGGCGTTGCTGGAGACTGATTCGGCCGGCAGCTTTAAGACCTCAGAAGCTTAAACTGCCATTGTGCCGGCTGAAGAGAAATCTTCCCTCAACAAGTTGAAGTGCTGGAGAGCAGATGTCTGGCACAGTGGTGGACTGCTGCCTGAGACACCTGCATCCCATTATCCTAGTAGTTGGGTTTAAAGTGCCAGCTGCACTCTTCCATTCCAGCTTCCTGGGGGTCATGGCTCAAGTACTTGGGTGCCTGCCACCAGCATGGGAAAGGCGAATGTTAGTTCTTGATTTTGGCCTGGCTTAGCCTACCTCCAGCTGTGGCAGTATTTGGAGAGGCAAACAGGTGACAGATCAGCTGTCTTCCAAATCAACTAAAAAAATTTAAAAATTTAGAAGGGCTGGTACAATGGCTCAATTGGATAATCCTCCGCCTGCAAGCACTGGCATCCCACATGGGCTCTGGATTTTGTGCTGGCTGCATCACTTCCCATCCAGCTCTGTTTGTGGCCTGGGAAAGCAGTGGAAGATGGCTCACAGCCTTGGGACTCTATACCCTCGTCGGAGACCTAGAACAGGCTCCTGGCTTTGGCTCACCTCAGTTCCAGTCATTGTGACCTTTTTTTGTTTGTTTGTTTTTAATGAATTTGAGGTAGTATTAGTAGGGGTTTGGTTTCAGGACCTCTGTACCAGCAGTGTCAGGACACATTTAAATAAGAGACTGGTGGAATTATGACTCCTTATGAAGGACTAGACTATTGCAGCAACATGGGGAAAATCTGTCGGGGGGTGGGAGTTTGGGGGTGAATCCCAGTCTATATGAAATTTTACAAAAGTCAAAATAAAATATTTAAATAAAAAAAGAATTTGAGGTAGTATCACTAGGGGTTTGGTTTCAGGACCTTCCTCCGTCCCTCCACGGATTCTGAAGCTCAAGCCAATCACATAAAATGATGCAATATAGGCTACTTTGGAGTGTTTGTGGAAAAATGGAAATTAAAATGAATTCATTTCAGTGCAAAGGAGTTTTTGCTGTAACTATTTTCCGTAATACATGCAAAATGTGCATTAAAAAAAACTACGTACGGATTGCACCACAGTAAATTAATTTCTCTAATTCCATTTCCAAACTTTCTGAAATACCTTTGCATTTACATAGGATGTACCTCCTCCTGAATATTTTAAATAATTCTAGGTGATCTACAATGTCTACTACAATGTAAAGGTTATTAAATGGTAGTTGTGTGACTTTCCCCTCGGAGGATTTACCATCTGCAGTGGCCTGCATCCTCATGGGTGTAGACTGCCAACTCTGCTAGTTAACACCTTCAGAAGTGAGGGTTGTCCTGGTCCTCCTTCCAGGGGTTCTCAAGTGTGAGCCTGCATTACGATCACTGCCAGGCTTGTTAAAACACAGGTGGATGAGCCTGGAATACAGGCATTTCCAGCAAGTTCCTAGGAGATTCAAATATTGCTGACCTGCAGACTGGTGTTCAAGGAGCCTATGGAACAGTATCATAAAATGATAATAATAAAATGTAAAAAAAAAGTGTATAACTCCATACTGAATAAACGTAGAATACTTCTAAAACACTTCTTGTATTTAAAAAGTTAGCATGAGGGCATACATGTGGTATAGTGGTTAACTGACCACTTGGGATGCCAGCATTCCACATTGCCATGTCCTGTTCCTGTCCTTGTTCCTCCACTTTCAGTTGAGCTCCCTGCTATTGTGTACCCTGGCAGGGAGTGAATGCTGGCCCAAGTACTTGGGTCCTGTCACGTGCAGGGGAGACCAGATGGAATTCTGGCTCCTGGCCTTTGTCTGGCTGTTGTGGTCATTTGGGAGGATGATCTAGTTCTCTGACTTTAACATAAAATTAAATAGAAAAATTTAAAAAGAATCATTTGTAAACACAAAGGGTAACTTCTTTACCACGTACCTTAGAGGGAAAAAAAATGGCATAAATAAGGGATGCTTCAGAATAAGCCCAAGTAGAGTATGGGCTGCCTGAGCCCTCACAGACGAGCCTGTGTCCCCAAAGAATTCACACACTCCAACAGTGTCGGTGTGGAAAAGACACAGACCAAAGCGGTGAGGCTTGGCAGGTTAACTGTACTGCAAGCATGACCCTGACACTGAATTGGGGGCTGGAACATACAGCAATGACCCATAGTTGTGAACATGTGACACTAAACATGCACGGCAGCTGGGTTCCAGAGAAGACCTGAAGCTGGCTGTGCCAAGGAGGCTGCCTGGAAATGTGTCCCAATTCAGGATTCAATGATTGCAATTTCTTTGTTGTAATAACAACATTCATGATGTTAAGAAAACTCTAGACACAGATAAAGGAACAAATCCTAAGTACTAGGCATTTTGTAAAAATTCTGGGAAAACGGAAATTAAAAAGGTTTATTTTGGTGCCAAACATTTTGAAATCCATGCAGTTTTTTTTACAATCTGCATTTTCCATGAAACTTTGAAAGCATTTATTTGGCAGCTAAATAAACTTCACAAAGAACAGAACCAAGAAGTCATCAGTCATCATTGGGTCCAGAACTAGGATACCAGCAGCACCTGCAAGCCCTTCTGGTCACCCTGCTCACATGTCCTCTTCCCCCCAAGGAAACCACCGAGCAGATTCCTCACGCTGCACTGAGAGCTATTTTTAGCATGACATAAATAGGAACAGCACAGTCTCCGTGTCTGCATTCTTGCAGACAATACGATGCCGTGACCTTCACACATGCCCCCAGTACAGCAGCAGCATATTCACGGTTGCTGCAGGATGACATTCCGTTGCATGGCAACCACACACTCCATACTTCTTTCCTTGGTGGACACTGGCATCACATTCACTTGGCAGGAGCTGTTATGAACACTGATCTTGGGATTCATTCTTTCTTTATTTTAATTTTTAATTAGTTTCTAACAGACTGAATGTGGTCTGTAGATACAATTCTAAGAACCCAGTGTTATATTGGGAATATCCTTGTGTGCATCTTTGGTATACACATGCACTCACTCTTTTGTGTGATGCTCAGGGTAGATTTTTGGGTTTTTGAAAAGTCCATGAGGGGACGGAATTAGAAGGGCAGTTTATTTTGGTACAGAAGTTAGAGGTTTACCTGAAAGACTTAACCAGTGAAATTTTTCTTTGAACGAAGACTTTAAAACTAAGGGGCTCAGCTGATTGCAGAGATGCAGAATTTACTTTCATGACTTTGTGTCAGTTTTGGTTCTTTTTTCTTTTAAAGACTTATTTTTATCAGAAAAACAGATTTACAGAGGAGAGAGAACAATCTTCTACCCAAATGCCTGCTGTAATGGCTGGAGCTGAACAAATCCAAAACCAGGAGGTTTCTTTTGGTCTCCCATGTGGGTGCAGGGTCCCAAGGCATTGGGCATCCTCCACTGATTCCCAGGCCACAAGCAGGGGGCTGGATGGGAAGTGGAGCAGCTGGGATATGAATCAGTGCCCATATGGGATCCTGGTGCTTACAAGGGGAAGATTAGGCAATGAGCCTTCGCGCTGGTCCTGGTTCTTTGTATTTTTGAAGGAATTTGTCAATTCAATCTTCAGAGTTTACTAATAAAATTATAGCATCCATCTTAAAAAATACTTACATTTACTTACTTGAAAGTTACAGTGAAATCTTCCATTTGCTCGTTTGCCACCCAAATGGCTACAACAGCTAGACCTGGACAGTTCTGAAGCAGGGAGCCAGGAGTTTCTTCCGGTTCTCCTACTCAGGTGGTAGGTTCCCAAGGACTTGAGTCACCCTCTGCTGTGTTCTCAGGCCATTAGCAGGAAGTTGGACTAGAAGTAGAACAGCCAGAACTTGAACCAGAGCTCATATGCATGGCCAATGTTTCAGGCAATGGTTTAACATACTGTGCCACCATGCCAGCCTCTACTGCATCCTTTTATTACTATCTTACAAGTTTTTAAATTGTGGTTATAAAAGCTTAAGATTTATCATTTAAATTGCTTTTAATATACAGCTCAACAGTTGGGTCTGGTTCAAAGGCTAACTCCTCAATTTGTAAGCACTGGGTTCCCATTTGGGTGCCAGTTCGTGTCCTTGCTGCTCCACTTCCCATACTGCTCCCTGCTCTTGGCCTAGGAAAACAGTAGAGGATGTCCCAAAGCCTTAGGACCTTGAACCCGTGTGGGAGACCTGGAGGAAGTTCCTGGTTCCTAGCTTCGGATCGGCTCAGCTCCTGCAATAGCGGCCATTTGAAGAATGAACCTCTTTCCTCAAATGGATGGAACATCTTTCTCTCTGTGTCTCTCCATTTGCCTTTCCAATAAAAATAAATACATCTTTTAAAAAAGATGCATCTCAGCAGTGGTGAGGATGTGTGCACTGTGGTGAGGCAGGCCCTCAGAGCTTTTTCATCTTGGACAACTGAAGCTCTGTGCTCATCAAACAATAACCCTATTTCCTCTCCCCACCTCCCTGGTAACCAATATTGTGCTGTATGTTTCTTTGTACTTATTTTAAGGTAAGTCTTTGAAAATATGTTTTTCTTTCCTATAATGGTTATTAGGGTCTTTTTTCTGCCTTATTGGGGAAGGTTAATTTTATCTGTGTTTTTAAAGAAATCACTGTTAAGTAGACACTTTCCTGTTATTTCACTTTGTTAAAGATTTATTTTATTGGAAAGGCAGATTTATAGAGAGAAGGAGATAAAGAGAGAAAAATCTTGTATGTTGATTTGTTCTCCAAGTGGCCACAACAGACAGAGCTGAGCCAATCTGAAGCTAATAACCAGGAACTTCCTCCAGGTGTCCCACACAGGTGCAGGGTCCCAAGGCTTTGGACCATTCTCTACTGCTTTACCAGGCCCCAGGCAGGGAACTGGATGGGAAGTGGAGCAGCCAGGACACGAACTGAGATCCATAAGGGATCCCGGCACAAGCTAGGAGGATTTAGCTGCTAGGTCATCATGCCAGGTCCTCTGTTATTTATTTTATGATCC